AAACATTTTTTGCCTGTTGCAGTTCTGAAGTGGAGCTGGCAGCCGGTATTACGTGCTAGTATAATCAAATCGTAGCGGACGCAACCTGAGACTGGACCGATGGCATTTAATCGCCACAGAAGTCTCTCGAGTGTGATCTGGGAGAGTGACCGTGCCTGCTCGTACTACCAATGCTCGCTGCTGCTGGAAATCATCAGCGTCAGTGCCCCGACGGAGACACAATCTGATGCGAGGATTTGACTCATCCCAGTGGATCTACTGGTAGTCTTGCTAAACCTCCTGTAAATGCTTTGTTCTGATACATCAATGCCTCGATGCACTCCTTGATCCGTGACCTTGATCGGGGCGAAAGCTTTCGTTCCTGGCGCTGTAGCGTTGGCTACCTCAGAGCAGTGAACAGTTTCAGAGTGAGAAGCATCTGGCAGGCTCGATAGGCACTGCAGGCGTCCAAGCTGAGCACGTTGTCATACTGGTAGAAGCAGGCAGTTGGAGTAGGAGGGGGTTCGTCGCTGCTCACATTCTCGGCATTGTGGTTGATCCGTGCCGGGATGCTGTGCCACTTTTCTCTCCACTCGCCTCGTCGCATCACCGCCGTCCGTCATCGTCATCTCACCAGCTCTGTTGTCAGAATGCGTGGCGCAAGAACATCGATACGCTGTGCGCAGAGAACACAGCTGAAGCATGGAGCTTCATTCGCTGTGAATGAACTCGGCGGCACTTTCTATCCGCGATTGCTGCTGCCTCACCTGTTGAGTTCAGCCCGCTGAGGCTGTGCTCCAGCTACTCAGCTGTCGCTAACGAGCTCAAACTAGTACTTAGTCCATCATGCCACCTCATCCTCCTCTTTGCTCAGACGACATCCTCGGATCTGTAACATTTGATTGAGCTTTTCTGACGTTGACGCAGAGCACTGAAGTGTCACAGCATCTTACTTACCATGACGAGAAATACCTACGACGGGCCGCAAGGCAATAGTCCCTACGGCGGATACCCTCCACAGCCAGCTTATGGACAGCAGCAACAAGAATATGGCGGCTATCCCCCTGGAGAAGGCCAAGGATATAATCAACAGTATCAGCAATACCCAGGCCCAGGTAGTAATCAAGGATACGGTGACAACCAAGGCTCCGCGCAATCGTATTATGGCAGAAATGATCAGCCATACCAGCAATATTCGCACGACAGACCACAAGAGCAGCCACCACATCAGAACTACCAGTCTGGTCCGGCGTCAGGCTACACTCCTGCGCCCGGACAGTATAACCACCAGTACGGAGGTCCACCGCCACCACAGGACTATCCTCCTCCGTACGGACAACAGCAGCAATACCCTCCGCATCACATGCAGCAGCCTAGCGGCCAGGTCGACAATTTCCGATCCCAATTTGACCAGCCTTATGCCCAGCCTAACGCATCTGGACACTACAGCCAATCCGGCCCCTACCCACCTGGAGCAAGTGAGCAAGATCGTGGCCTTATGGGAGCATTAGCCGGAGGCGCTGCTGGCGCTTACGGTGGCCACAAAATGAATCATGGCGTTCTTGGAACCATTGGTGGTGCAGTCGCCGGATCCATGCTCGAAGATGCGTACAAGAAGAAAGGCAAGAAGGACAAGAAGCACAAGGAGCACAAACCACATCATTCTCGACGTGGAAGCTCGAGCAGCTCGAGCTCTTCTAGCTCATCGGACTCCGACTCCAGCAAAGACAGGAAGAAAAAGAAGAAGGGTATGTCCGCTCCAGCAGGAAACTTCCATGCCAGCTCTCGGAATGTGTATCTCGAGAGTCGGTCAACATTAGTAGCAGAGTCCGCTGACGTGCGCGGTCATTTTCAGCGCACCGCCATTGATCTCAACGACGTATTCACCAATACCAATGGCAAGATGCACTGGGCCAGAGGCGGAAACTTTGCGGGCAGTGCTAGGCATATACGACTGACCGACAATGGAAACTGTCTCGAAGCTGAACTGGGCGACGGCCGAGGTGGCTGGATCTACAACAAAGTTGACCTGAACGAGAGAATCACGAACGATAACGGCAGACTACACCTACTGTAAGACAGAAGAATTGTTTATGCGAGCACGCATTTGACAGCAACAAATGGTTGCCTCTTTCCTTATTACAAGCAAGCGTCCTGGTGTCCTCCAGGCACTTTTACCTACACACAGCCATGCACATGGTTTGTGGAAGAGCCTTGCATGTACTTCCCGTACCTGTACCGGGGTCGCTGTGAGCTTCGAAGCTCTACCCAGTACGTAAACAGCTCCAGGATCCAAGACGTGAGGGGTTCCGTTGCACGACAACACCGCTCCAATGCAAGACCTCGTTGCTCAGCATGCCGGTAGGTAGAGGCAGACCACCTTTCTCAGTCATCGCACACTCAGCGTCGCCCGCGATCTCTTCCTAGAACGTATCAGAAGAATCCAACATACCACTGACATAACAACCACTTGCACCCCAACAACATGTCTCTGACAAGAGCCATCCTGTCCCACACACGCCAACGCCCAATACTTCACAAAGCCATCAAACCATCGATTCTCAGACCACTCACCACCTCGCGCCCCTTCTACCGCGACGGCGACACAGGCGGCGTCCGCTCTGGCGGCGAAGCAGCAGGCGATTCCTGGACAAGAAGAGAAAAAGCCGCAGAGAATGTGTACATCAAACAGAAAGAAAAGACACTCTTAATGATGTTGAGAGAGAAAATCGCGGCTCAAGAGGCGATTCTGGCGAAAGATCGGGCAATTTTGGCGGCGATGGAGGACCAGTATGGACATGTGGTTGAGGAGAAGGCTGTTTGATATTTAGTTGATGTGGGTTGGAGTAAGGGCTGCCGAGAGAGTAATTGTAGTACGGGTGTTGTGCGTGGAATTGGGGGTATCTGGTTTTTAGGGAATCGTTCTGATACGAAGGCTATCAGGACGACTACGCTGGGTTGAGAAAAGCCTGCTGGGCGATTCGCGTGATCAAGACAAGCTGGCATGAACATAATTTGCAAAGGGAAAAGCCTCAACAATTTGCCATATTTCATGTCATTTCATTGCTATGGGTATCGTGCTGTCGAGCCGTCCATTCCTTCATCATCATCGGAACCATTAGCATATCGTTACCAAACCGCTCAAACGCCAATGACCGATTCCACCTCGTAAACGCCAAAAGATGTTGACATATCCAGTAGTTCAATCCACAACCTTCCCTGAATCCTCTCTCTCCAGCCCCAGCTTTTTCTCCTCTTCAACAACCACATCTCTCGCTTCTACCTCCCCCTCGACAACTTCCTCTCCCTCCATCTCAAACACCCCAGCAGCCTGCATCAACATCTCATGCAGCGAAGTAACACAATCCGGCTCCTCTTCCAAAAAGTTCCCAACAGCCTTCTCTACATCCAACGTCCCACAATCGACAAATCTCTGCATCCCATCCAAAAGCTCCATAACATCTTTTCGCATCTCCTGGTCTTTCACGGCGTTGATAATAATATCAAAACTCGGTGAAAGCCGATCCGTAAGATCCCTCGCATCACCATCCGCAGAATTCGAAGCTCCGAGACCTTTCATATGGAACAAACGTTGAGATAATAGAGCAGTAGAATCGGTTTCTGTGCAAGTAATGTAAATCTTCGCATCCGGTAGAGCGCGATGTAAAAGTTGCACAAAAGCAGCTCCGAGATCTGTTTCGCCGCCTGCGATGAGTATTCGTTTGTTATTGTAGCTTTCTACTCCGCCGTCTTCTGCGGGCGTAGGTGAAGCTGTAGGCGTTCGGATGATGGGGATGTGGAGTTGTTCTTTGAGGATTGCGGCGCCGGTCATGAGGGCTGTGAGGTAGGCGCAACCGGTTTCGGGGAGCATGCTACCTGGTAATTCGAGAGCGGAAATTGTTGGTATTCGTAGGCGTAACGAGCCTTCGTGAGCGGAGAGGAGGCATGGTTTTGGTGGGATTAGACATGCGAGGATGATATCGCCGGGCAGGAATGGAGCTGTGATTGTACTGGGGTCGTCTACCAGTTCGCCTGAGACTGTAATACCCGCTGAAAGTGGCAGAGCAAGAAGATCTGGTCCTTTCGTTTGTGTTACGAAGCTCTTGGAGCTATTGCTAGCTGAAGCTGCAGCAGTAAATGTCATGCATAATTCGTCCGGCGGAGGTGCAGTAATGTCCAAAGTCGTCGGACTGCCTGTCGAAACTCCAATGTCTCCCATATTGTCTCAGGTTCTCGTGGGGTAAGCGGAAAGGTGTGCAGGGAGAGGCAGAGGAAGTAGTGCAATGTGGTTGTGTGGTTGTTCTATGCACGTAATGCAGGTGCATGTTCGAGCCTCAGGGTCCTGGTCTGGATGATCCAACGACGCAATGGCGCTGAAATGCTGCACGTGCTGACTCGCGGACTTGACATCCCATCATCGATCGAATATTTGCAGGGCATCTCTGCTTGTGGCAGCGGTGCCCGAAGGGCAAACGGCCATGCATGCAGTGTGACCAAAAAGACAGAAATAATCTGTTCGAAACGGACCTGGGTGCACACTTCGCGTTTGGGCCAGCTTACGGAGCATGTGATACATCTCCAGCCCTACTCTTAAACCCGAGACATGGAGATCGTGGGGAGTTGAATCGGTTTCATGATATTTGTATCGTTTACGAACTCTTGATTAGAAGATGCGGATTTAAGAGTGTGACAGCGCATGGAAATGCGGTCTTGCTTTGATCACGGATCCCTCGGCGAACCGTGACAACTGTTGGCGAGTTACGCTGACAACGGCATCCGTACGGCTCCCAAGGGAGGCCCTTCCGAGTGAACTGACAAGGATGGAACAGACCGACAGGAATTGCCGAATATGCAAAGAGCAACGTGCACGGTGTTGCGCAAAGCTGAGAAAGTTCCGAAAGTTGCGAGATTGCAAAACAGGCTGCACCTTGAGTTGCCAATAGACATATAGGTCAATTCCAGCTACATATAGCGATTGACGACCTATTTTCCGGGAGAGCCTTTCACGCAGACAGTTGGACCGGCCGGGTTGTCGCTGAGGCGATTCTGGACAATCGCCCACACATTTCGGTCGTATGCTTCGCCAATGTGCCCAACTGGATCGTTAGGGCAATAGTCTTGAATGAAAAGATTCTCAACTCCAGGCTCATTGACAAATGCAGTCTCCACAGGTGTAACCAACTCATCGTACCTCGACGTCAAGATTGTGTATTTGATTCCAGGCTGAGCAATTGGTCCATTCGTAAGCCGTTGAACCGCGCCTCCATCAGTCACAAGATCAGTGCACGCTCTGCAGCCAAACTTTGCAAGCACAGTATCGACAAGTCCCTTGGTAAGGTTGCCTCCAATGTAGCTCAAGGTGTATAGGTTTCCGAAGGTGGTTCCGTGAGTTGGAGGTGCGATCGCGACCACTCTTTGCACAATGTTGGCGACGCCTGTGAACTTCGGCACATACAAGGACTGGAAGGCGCCTTCGGAGTGGCCTACGAAGTCGACTTTAGCGGCACCAGTCTTCGTCTGCACTTCTCGAACAAAGTCTGCGAGCTCCACGGAAGATTTGTTGATGTACTCCAGTCCACCCACAAATGGAAAGCCTGGGTAGTCCCCGTAAGTGATGGAAAATGTGCAGAAGTCCTGAGTTTTCAAGTATGATTCGAGATAGTTGAGGTCCTCATAGTAGGTCGCGCCCAGACCATGCATAATGATCACCTATTTGACTTGTCAGCCCAAGCTATTCGACAGGAAACCACTTTGCCAACCACTTACAGGATTCGGATGCGTGGCGCTCCGGCAGCTGAAATCATTGTGATTCGGCGGCGCCTGCCTCTGCTCAAGGACCTCCGCATCACGACTATACACTGGGCCGCCAGCAACCAGCTGAGCCGTAAGAAAGAACGCAGCAAAAGTTTTGAAGCTCATCCTTGCGACTGACAGAGAACAAGGTGGATGATAACGAAGGTAGCCGCAGTAACGAAGGAATCTTCGCTGATCTTTATGGTTCACGCTCTATGCCCATCTCTGCCGATCTGCAATGCATTAAGCAAAAGCCGTTAGTGCTGTTGCTTCTATACGTCGTTCCAACATATCTGATAGGTTAGCCGCATTGCCCCAATTTGAAATGCTGAAAGACCGCTATTGGAACCTGTGTAACACTGCTCGTCCGGGAGCCGCAGTCCGCTCTGAGGGAGCACGAGCTGACACTCCATCGGGGTACGAAAGCTCGAGTCCCGTCAGTGGGATATCTGAAAGCGATTGGCGGACCCTCGATTGGGATGTTGGGCGCCAGAAAGTGGCCGAAAATTGAATTTCGGAGGCGTTCAAGCTTCCAGCCGATCTGCCGCAGCGTGGTCCGGCAAGTCCGAACAACTCCTCCCGTGATGTCAGAGTCCTGTTGTTCAGCTGTGCAGTTCTTCCAAAAGAGGCATCCTGTGGTCCAATTGTATGTTGTGTTGTGAGCAGAGAAGTGTGTTCCCGTGAAGAACCGACGGCAGCCTCCCTCCGCAAAGCTGCCAGATGCCAAGGTCACGCACGTCCAGCTTGAAGGCAGCCACGACCACAAGGTTCTCAGAACAGGAGATGTAGCATGAGGCCGAGAATGCAGCAGGTACACGAGTCGTCGACCCAATAATACAGAATTATCCATTACCATGCTACGCTCGATGCTGTTAACCGATCTGTCTCTGTTGCCGTTTCTTGTCATCAACATAATCTGTACAAACAATCGCTTGTCCTGTGCTCCAAATACACCTGGCAAAGTCGTAGACCTGTCGCTCTAATCACGATTGATAACCCTCAAGCTCCTTCTCGGATTCAGCATGACACCCACAAACGTAGGCTCCTGCCCTGCCAGCAAATCTTCTTCGCCATCACTGGCATCGCTATTCCTCCTAACAGCATTATAGCCAGCCGCAGTGACGCCTGTCCCGCCACGACTACTAGAACCGCTTTCGTTGCGACTATGCCCACTCCCGCTGACTCGTCCGGCTTCGCTGTTGGTGTTCCATTTGGCGACAGAGCCTCCAAAGCGGCTTGGATCTGATGGGGTGTTTTTCCCAGTCGAATAATCGGCATTGGTGCCAATCAGTCCTGGAATCGTTGGCGTCTTCTCACCTCGCGCAGCAGCTTGACTCATTTCCACGTGGCGTTTGTAGAGTTGTAGCTGTTTTCTGTACACATAGGCACAGAAAGCGAGGTAGCAGGCAATGATGAAGAATACGCCAGCAATAACGCCTGCTACGATAGCACCAATATTGGGTCCAGAACTGCCGCCGCCGTTGGAGCCACCTCTGGAATCTGGACTCGAAGTTGAGGTACTGCCGTCGGCATTCGTGTAAGTAATCGGCCTTCCTGTTGCGAGAGGACCGGCGGTGGCGGTGTTCACAGGTGTTGTCACGGTGGCGCCGCCATCCTCGTTTCCACCCACGACGTCGATGACAGCTTGGGGCACTTTGTATCCATACGAGCCCTCGAGGCCACCAGGAGATTCAGCGCTATACTTCTGTGCTGGCTGTTGATTGAATCTGCCAATGTCAGTACAATGCAAATTTGCAACACAGGACTTACTTACGGATTGTTAGAGCCAGTCGAATCACTGCCGTCTGACTTCTGAGCTGTGCGCGAATCGTCATCGACCCCAGCTGACAATGCAGTGAATTGGTTGACCCATTGTAGCGCACTCAAGTCGAAGACGTAAATGCCTGGCGTTTCACAAGTCAAAGTTCCATCTCCTGTGTATCCTCCTACCATCACCATTTGTGCATCCCAGATGTTGCACGTGTGTCCGGATCGTCCAGGAGGCACGCTCTGATCGTCGGTGTCGACTCTTATCCAGGTGAAAGACGGTAAAGTCAAGATCCACATGTCGTTAAATTGGGTTTGGTTGCCGAATGGAATAAGATTCTGCCCTCCGAACATGTAGATGTTGTACGAAGTGCCATCCGGTGCGGCAGCAATGACCGCACATGGGTTGACACGAATCTCAGGGGTCGGACCAGATGTCGATTGAATATACCACGAGCTGGTCGCAATGTCGTAGACGTCGATGTTGTTCATTTGGGTGAAGGTGTCGTTGATTCCACCTGCAATGGCAAGCAAGATTCCCTGTTCACCGAAGCCTGGCACGTAGATGAGCAGGCCATCAGCGCGCTGCGTGAAGCCAACCTGGGCCTGTTGACCGCCCTCCGTGACATTGCGGTAGACCCCATCTGAGCCCGCCGCACGGTCGTTTGACAACGACTCGACTTGGTTGTTGGTCGCTCCCGGGAACGTGAACTCGAGAAGCGACTGCAAGTAGACACGAGGGACAGCGTTGCTCCACCCCTCTGTCGTGTAGGAGTCCAGATGCCCGCCGAAGTAGAATCCACGTCCAAGAGAAGGCACATTTGCTCCCGCTCCTTCAGCAGCACGCTGTACTGGATCATCATTACTCGGCGCACTTGGACCTGAAGATGTTACAGGCTGGTTGTGCTCAACCCATTCGTCATCGGCAATGACATATTCCCAGGTTGAGTATGCTGTTGGCGCCACGGGTGGTTTCCATGAGTATTGGCCACCATACAAGAAAAGACTTTCTCGAGAGCTCCACAGGTATCCCAGAGAGACGTTTGGAGGTCCGGAGGGTTGTGCACGTCCAGTCAATGCTGGAGTCGCTATTTGCCATGTCTTCGTCAAGTCCAATGACAAGAAGTAGTTATTCCATGCATCGCTGTCCTGTCCGGGCTCTGTCGTTGCTTGGCCACCATACGTATACAGCGTTCCATTGACGAGCGCGGATTGTTGAGCCCATCTGAAGCAGACATTGGTTGGGCTATCCGCTCTGCGTTGAAGAGTCTGAAGCTCGCTTCGCGCCGGCAATACACTGCCACTGACAGGCTGGAGGACAGCGGCGTGGCCAAAGAATGAGGTGCTCTGCAGCAGCGGAACGACTGCGACGAGCAAGAAGGTAAACACGCCCAAGCGATACATGCTAGAGGTGTTTCGCACCGGTAGTGGTGACTGAATGTGCGCTGGAGAAATGGTCGGTGTCGAGAAAGGTTGTGCCTGCTTGTCGTTACGCGGTTCCGTGTTGTGGTGAGACTCGCGACCTATTTCGGAAACAGCATCGTCGTACTGCTCCACGACTCGCACGTCGTCCTTGCTCCGGAAGCGCACGCTCGGCGTAGGCCGTGAGCGTTTCTTGCCGGTATTCAGTGATGAAGCAGGTTCGAAATCCAGGTGCTCACGAAAAACAGAAGTCCTTGGTGAAGGTCCCATTCCCCAGTCTGGCGTGCGCTAATTTTGGTGGAGCACACCCACTGCTGCAAGTAATAATACGAGAAGCTTATCCTCGGCGGAGGAAGCAGGAGCCGCCAGTGGTTTCAGAGGTTCAAGAGTTGTTCATAAACCAACAAATGTCCAGCAGTTCGTCCAGGACAGTGTCGCGTTGCGGATCTCCAGCGCACTCGATGCGTCGGCGCAAACTGCTCCGCAAATATTGACCCGGGGGATATATGTGAGAAGCGAGATGGCGCGTGTGTGGCGAACAGCTGCTGCTGCAGGTCGGTGTGCTGTGTGCCTGGAAAGCTGGTACCGCAGCTCAGCGGACGGGACGGGTGTGAGAGCAATGCGATTGTGGTTGTTGTTACAATGAGAGCGAATACCGAAGAGAGATGGATCCCATTACTTGCCTTCGTGCTCCACGTCGCGCACCGCACAGCGACATGAGGAGGAGCCTCCCGAATCATGATCAGGGATCGCAGTCGACGAACGTCATCTTTAAAGCCAAGACTCGATATGTGCCTCGCTAACGGCGTGCACGTGAGTGTCATTGGCTGTGCGCGTCTCGCTTGCACGAAAGGCGCTGTCGGACGAGCTGCTCTTCCCAGCAGATCAACAGCTCAACATGCCTTTCGCAGAGATGCCACAGGCCGAGCCCACAGAAATCGAACAACGTGGCCGGTGCCTGCCGTCGGCCGATGCCTCACATCCATGCAGCAGCAGCATTGTTGTTCTGCGGAGCATGATGCGGATGGCTGCAACTGCAAGCCACAAAAGTAGCGAGCTCCATGCCATGCTTTCTGCTGCCATTGCTTGCTCTGTCCTGCCGCCGACACGATCGCTAACAAGGAGATACTTCCGGCTCTCGATAGCGAGTACTGAATCTGTCAAGCTGTTGGCTGGCTCTCTCGATACAATGTGAGATCCGCTTTACTATTTTCATCTTGTAGCTGACATGATTGGGTGAGGTTGGCTTCCTTGTGACCCAGCCTATCAGCAGAAAGCAATACAGAAAGTAGGACTTTGGCTCCGCATAGTTCGCCAGAGTAATTCGGATTGCGCACGCTCCTGGCACCTCCTGCTTCTCCACTGTAAGGTATACTCGAAAGAATCTGTCTGTCGAAGCGAGATCTGCGAAAGAACGAGTCAGCAACGAGCAACCACCAAACGTACATGTCTGCGAGCGACTGGGCGGCCTGCTGGCTCGATGATACATTATATCTAAACAGTTCCTATCAAAAATGACTGTCATTCAGCATATCATCAATCATCATCTCTCGAGGAGGTTGGCTGCTCCTCGTCATCGCCATTATGCCTTCACCAACCGCTCTTCCATCTGGAAAATCTGCTCTCATTTCTTCAAAGCACAATCATCCCAATGCCCGAGATGAGCGCAACTTGCACCAAAACGGCCATCGTGATGTACTCCACAGTACCACTCACAGCATGACCACCAGCAGCTGCACCCTCGCTCGTAGATGCGCCGCCGCCGCCATTACCAGCAGCAGAGCTTGCAGAAGATAAAGCAGCAGCACAGCTTCCAGTCGCGCTCGTAGCCTGCTGGAGAGTGGCAGATCCCGAGAAATCGCAAGCCGTAGACGCCGAGTCACGACTGCTGTAGTACTGATTCAGCACATAGCCCAATTGCTGCTGGGGACTGCACATTCCAAATTCGCCATAAGTGCCTGTCGTGCTGTTGGCTGCGATGCCGTTGCAGAGATCACCGCCCATGCCGCAAACGTAGTCGAAGAGCTCGGCGTAGGTGGAGTTGTCGGCCTCGTCGGAGGCTACGCATGAAAGTGAGTTGTACATGCATTCGCAGACGCTTGTGTCCGGACTAGGAGGCAAGACTGTTGGCACGGCGCTGAAGCTGGCGTCCTGAGTTGGGCAGGCCTGAGCTGAGTTGGTGGGGTTATAATCGTTCGAGTTGACGCCGCTTGGCGAGACTGTCGCGATCTGAGAACGGAGGTTGTTGAAGTCATCCAGCGTGGAGACAGAGTCGCCGTCGACTGAGACAAGGCCCTGGGAAAGGTGTTAGTTCGCAGAAATGATCCAGTCAGCCTTCAACAAAGCTTACGTAGTCGTTTGCTTCTTGGAAATACAAGTAAACTATGCCTCCGGACCACACAGAGTCCATCTGTGGTCCATAGAGCACGGGAGTGTCTCCGAAAGTTCGTGGCTGCACTGTGTTGCATCCGTACTAGAAATTGTCAGCTTTGAACATCATGTGGGCTGAGGCGCCTCTCACCTCGGCAAAGAAAACGGGAACATTGTAACTCTCAAACTCCTGAGTCCTGGCCTCGTATCCCGAGTTCTCGAACGAAGAGTCTCCGCACCAGCTGTACACATTATAACCCCAGAAGTCCACGCCATCATCGGGATTGCCACAGTCCATGTAATTGGCGAGTGGCTCTCGAATGTCCACGTTGTCGGTGGTCGCATAGCCCACGCCAATCGCGCGATAGTTCTTCGACCTGATATATGCCTTGGTGTCTCGGACTGCAGCCTTGACGAAAGGTGCGGCTATGGTCTGATTTGGCTGATTAACCACTTCGTTTCCGGCGAAGAATCCAAGAGTATTGGAATACTTCGCCATCACGTCGACCACGCTAGTGTATCTCGCGAAAATGTCTGTATTCCAAGCGGGATTATTGGACTCGATGGACTCGGAGGGAGCACCAAGATCGGCGACAACATAGATTCCGGCATTGGCCAAGAGTGCCATGCATTCGTCGTGGTCTTGTGCGGGATCAATAGCGTACACGCGGATCGTGTTGGTGTAGAGCTGCTGTAGGTACGGGATATCTCGTCGACAGCCATCGGCATCCGCGAGCGGATCATTGTAGTTTGTTGTTGTAGCATCGCCGCGGCCTGCGACAAAGTCTTGCTGATAAGCAATGCCTTTGATATAGCTGGGACATGGTCAGCCGGATTCGCCAACACAAGCCGGGGTTAGTCACGCACAATTGGGTACCGTTTCCGCTGTAGAAGAATTTCGAGCCCTTGATCACGATAGTATCAACATCCTGAGCTGTCGCATGGCCAGCATAGCTCAGCAGGACACTCGCGGTGGCGAGTAGGGTTGTGAGAGCCATTGTCGCGTGCGGCGCCAGTGTTCACACCAAGTCTCGAGTCCACAGAAGGTCTCCAACACAATAGGTCAAGATCTTGAGTCAAGTGTGTACAGCTATCGTCAATGAAAGTGGCATGTCGTTCTGTTTGCTCGTCGACAAACTCTGTTGTGCGGCTCCTCGGCATGGCGACCAGCTCTGATGACCGCAGCGGCTGTGGCAACGACCTGCATAATAGAGCTCCAAACCGGCTAGATCAGGTCCTGCAGAGTCTTGCTCTGGCAACCCGGAGACGTGTACGAGACCTTTCCTCGATGCTGACACGCCGTAGACGCGTACGCGGCCGTTCGAGGTGGCATGATTTGTCCGCGTCACGCTGCTGCGCCGCCTGCTCTCTGGTCGAGCATGAGCACAAGAGAGGCGTCTTCCAGGCTAGGACAGCTCTGTACTACAAAAGCTGGTGAGTTTCAGGCGGCGAGTTGCCTCGAGATTGATGGGTGAGGTCTGTAAAAGTGGAAACAATGGAAGCACGGTCGAGCGTTCCGGCAAGGGTGCCACGCACCTGCCAAGCCGAGCATTGATGCACACTGCCACTCCTTACTGACTGCACATTGCCATACGACGAAACGTGTGCTATCGAGCATTGCCCGACAGACCAGTTCACGGCTTCATGCCTTTCCGCAGCCGAACAAACATGCTGGTTCCGCGATGAAGTGCCCGATATCCGTCAGAAGTGCACGGCAAGCGGACAGCCTTATCCTTCTCCGAGAATTGGAGCAGGGCCCAGCTCATGAGCCTGACGAAGTGCAAGACTGTCATCCAGGGCATTCCTCTGGGCGAAAGCACGATCAGCAGCGCTCTCTCTCTACCAAGGGAGATAGTTCACTGCTCATCAGCTTGATCCGGGACCACATCATGCCCTAGAGATTTGTCTAAGACCGACATCCTTCCTCCGAACGGCTTTACTTGTGAACGATGTCGTTCAGGCATCTAACACGCAGTCATGAGCGCGACAAAGCTCTCGACTAGAACGCAACGCCCTGGACATGCTCGGGATCGCGACCTCCAGATTTGTAAAATCGCAGAGCGCGAACTTTAGCGAGCACATAGCTCTCGAGCTCGACCATCCACGTGGCGACCAGAAAGACCTGCAAGTGTGGCATAACTACCCCAAAGAGTCCGAGTATAAAAAGGCCCCAAGGGCAGACTACATGGCATATTCCAAAGGCATGGAACAGATGCAACCTGATAGAGCAACCCGATAACTTCGTCGCAACAACTCCCTGTCCACGACCAGCATTAGATCACATGTCGACCTTCTCCAGCGGCACCTCACCTGTTCGAACCGAGATTCCACCTCCTCCCAAACTCTCTTGATCTTATCGAATGAACATTCCGCCCACTCATTCACCAACAAAAATTAGGTGTTCTAACACCTTCCCAAGTGGGAATACTAACTTTCACATGAGAAGGCACAGCACAAAAGCTTTTCTCCTGCAGCGCCCTCTCTTTTTCGAACGACTGTTTTTCCAAGATAGCAGACATCATCACCAGCAGAAAGACTTCGGACCAGAAGCGAGTGGTAAATAGGAACATATTCGGATCCCGATTCTAACCTTCTTCGTCTTGAGAGCCCTTTAACCATATGATGTAGTTCTGACGATGACCACCAACCAACCTGATCTAAGCTGGACAGTCGGCCCCGAAATAACAGAACAGGATAAAATGGATGATGCAAGACGAGCTTTCCATTTCTCGCTTCTCCGTAGAATCGTTGACACATCGCATCGTTTCGCCCGGATAAATTGGATAGCCGTGTTCTACAAGAGGGTTCGTCTGGCTAATCACTTAGTCAGCGATTCTGCCAACATCACCCAGCAAACTTCGTTTGCGCCATCGCTCGGACATGTCCGTCGCGAGAAAGTAGACAAGAAAAAGTATCGCCTATGCAAGCGAATAGCATCGTCAGAAGTCGAACGTGTTTTGAGTAATTTCCTTTTTTGTTCCTTCCTCTGGGGTTTTGTGGCGCGTACATGGGTATCCTATCTCACTGTCTGTTCCTACCAAAAATATGTTGTTCTCCCAAGAAAAAGCAACACCACACACGTTCCTAGATTTTTGTCTTTCCGTTTCTGCCTTTCTTCCTTGGCCTCGTCTGGATTGCTCAAGATAAGCCGCCACCCTAAATTCTATCTCTTGCCCACGCTTTCTACATTCCGACCATAGATCACATCAGAACATAACCCCACCCGGGAATAAGAATTGGTGCAATGTTTGTAGATCCCGGTTCATCCTGCAGAACTGCCGCTTGCTCATTTGCCTCGTGTGGGTGCGCGGTCTCGGAGTCGGTTCCATGACCGCGAACGTGGCCCACTCAGCCGATAACCAAGGATGCCGGACCCCTGGCACATCGCACGGGGTATGCTCCTTGCCAAGTGCGACATTCGCGGCATCCAGACTTTCGCGCATCCTTTGCGGTGTGTAACCGACGGTGGTGGAGTACACAGAGGGAGACGATTGCGCTGCCAATCACTTGTAATGTGCTGGATGCTGGAAATCCCATTCGCCGACACATGAATGGTGTTGTGCGCTGCTGCCCGACATCGTGGCCTCACACGTGTAGGATCATAAAGCCGCCGCCACACCATGGCCGAGGTCTCGGGTTGCGTGCAGAATTTTGCAACTCGCTTCGAATACCGTCGGTTCGCCGCAATGGTAGCGACTGGATGGCAGATCCTCAACAGAAAACCTCGACTTGGCCGCGTCGTCAAATGCAGCGTGGCGGGCAAGCAATTTCTCGCGTAGAATCCAACATCTCAGTCGATCACAATATGACACATTTGCTGCCCCCTCGATCTTTGGCACGCTCTCTTCGGTATCGCTTCTTGTCGCCTCGATCTGCGTAGTATTCGCTCCCGTTCGTCCGGGCTGCTCGTAGTCCTGGATCTGAGTGCTGGGAGGCTTTGCTGTTTCGCGCTGGTGCTGCTGCTCTCTGTCTTCGTAGTTGACGGACCACGTCGTAGAATGCCTTTTCCACATTGACGCAGTTCTTTGCGGATGCTTCGACAAACTCGCAGCCCAGCTGCTTAGCAAGTGCTTGGCCTTCTTGTGTCGACACTTCCCGCTCGGTCACCCGATCACACTTGTTGCCCACCAGCATGATAGGAGCGGGCCCGTATGAGCTCATGGTTTGAGAAAGCGGCGACCCAGGGTAGGTCGGCGAGCCTGCAGATGTCGATTCCTTGACTCGTTGGATCTGGTGGTGGAATTTCTGTATCCTCGTGAAGGAGGAGCGCGAAGATATGCTGTAGACCAGGATGAAGCCTTCTCCATCTCTTATCCACTGATCTCGCAATGCTGTATATTCTTCTTGGCCTGCTGTGTCCAGCACTTCTAGCATGCAGGATTGTCCATCGATGCCCACTTGTTTGCGGTACGAATCTTCGATGGTGGGGTCGTATGTCTCTACGAAGTGGTTCAAACATAACTGGAAGACGTGGTCAGCGGAGTTTGGATGTCAACACCAACGCGATATGCGTCTCACGCACCTGAATCGTCAAGGCGGTCTTTCCCACTCCTCCGTCTCCAAGCACCACCAGCTTGTACAGCGTCATTTTGCCGTGCGACATGATGGCGGCTGTTGGCGTTCTATCGCCCGTGTGCGAGCTGTGCCCGAAGATGAGATATAAAGGCTGTACTTCCGTCGCGCGCTCGTCAGGCGACTCCTGTTGACGTTGTGCTGCGTGCCTCGTGGCACGTTGCCCTCATGCGATAGCGTGGCGGCAACCAATTGCACACGCGCCGGCCGCAGTGCTACTGTGTCTGGCGGGTACGGGCTCGCCCGTGGTCCAATGGCAGGTGCTTGGCGAAGTCGAATGGCCGCACGAAGGCCGCGAAGGATGGCGACGGTAGGGATGGGAGGTGCTGCAGCTGACGTCTTTTGACGCCGACCGGGACAGAAGCTGGAGGGTGCAGCGAGAAGACGCCGTAAAGGTGGGAGAATCGGGGGCTGGCAGTCCGAAGGTCGCGGAGAAAGGCCGATGTCGATGGTGTTGCTCAGGCTCGGCCGGGCAGGCGCGGTGTGGGCACAATGATGAGATCAGCTAGGGTCCGGAAGGAGGTGAGGGGACAGGACTTCTGTGGGCGCGCTGCGCACACAATGCCTCTCCTGGAGCGGCGGAGAAGGTGTTGATCGGCGGCCGGAAGACAGATGGGCGACTAGTGCGCGCAGGTGGGATGTTGGTACGCCAGCAGCTCTAGCTAGCACGGCGGACAGCGAGCAATTGGGTGGTTGCAAAGTCAAAGTCTGCCAGCAGAACTTGGGGGGCCCGGGAGGTCTGTAGGCGTGATGAGGAGAGGGAAGAAGGGCGGCAGGTGGAGGTGTAACAGGCTGGGATTGGATCCTGGAGGGGGGCTCTGTTTCCGGAACGATTTTCGATGCCCCCGAGCACGTGTGGTGAACGTGGTCTGGCGCTGGGCGGCACGACACGACGAGGATCCCGCGTGCTGGCGAGGAGGGGCGGGGCGGGCTCACAGTCTGGAGCGACGGTGATCTGGTGCAGAGTGGGAAGGAGGACGACGATTGCAGAGAGGGTTGGAGGAAAAGAGTCGCTCGCACGCAGCAGAAGGGTCGCGGGCAGTTCCAAGACAATTAGCATTCAGAGTTACGACTAAGAGCATGCCGGCGGGGATCAGAAGCCGTGTTCACATTTTTGAGAGAGCTGCCCGCCTGGGCTTCGTTCTAAAGCAGCAGTCCCGCCAGCGCCATGCACCCATGGCCCGTGGCATCTGGTGTATGGGGTCTTCTCGTCGCCGCTGTTGGACGCAGCCGTGCTCGCAGGCTCCGCTACAACTTTTCGTGGCGCCGCCGTCTTCCCCACAAGCGAGCAGCGTGCGCCGGCAGTCGAGCCATCTCAAACGCCTGCGCGTCTGCATCCAGCGTGCGTGCATGCTGCAGCCTGCGTGCATGCGTCCGTATGGATTGCATGCGTCCGTATGGATTGCATTGCATTCATCGCTCGACTGCTCGACGCGACCTGCTGCCCTTTTCTGTCGCGCACGGCGGCCATCGAGAGCAGACGCATCACTTCCGCCCACGATCGATTTCTCGTTGAGCTCTGCTCTTGTTCATCACAAGCACCAAAACCCTGCCTAGTGCCCAGTAGCTCTCCCAGCTAAGAGGTAGCTGTTATCCGGTCCGATGAACCTTAGCAGCTAAGCGCGAGGACGAGAGGTCGTGCCTCACCACGCCGACAACCACCTCGCGCGACGTGGATGCATACCACACGCACAGCAGGCGACTTGTCACGTCCGCAGACCGCGTCGCACACCTCCGCCATGGCGTCGCTTCAAATGTGTGCGGACGCATGGCGCAGTGTACCGAGGCAGACGGGCGAAATGGGATCGCCACGATGCCTACGCTCAGAGAAGTGGCTCGACCGTGTGGAATAGGAAGCCATCCGAGACATTGTTCTCAACCCACGGACAACCAGTATGGAGCACATCCCGTAGCGTGGTCCCCTTGAACCAGCGCTCGGCTCTCGCCAGTCCAGTCCAAGCATTGCAGAATACCGATGGGGGCGGCGTGGGCGTGGGGCACGTCTCTCTGTTTCACCGACCGACTCAGCCATCGCAGAGCTGCTGCACAATACACAATTTTCGATCTCTGCATTGTGATGAACTAGCAGTCACAAAGCTGCTGTGGACGAGCCGTGAAAGGCAGGGGGTCTGGTCTCTCTGGCAGCAGATGCAAATGCAGGGCTGCCCATGCACAAATCCGCATGTCCAGGCGCGCCGTCACGTTGCCGAGCACAAGGATTCACTGAGTTGCCGTTCTTCTACCGTGATTCGCGGCACTGGCCTTTCTGAGTCCGCACGATTCGTGCTGGTCTCGAAGTTCAGTGAAGGAAGGGATTTGCACACAAGAGCGAAATGGTTCCCGCCGGCATCGAAACGCTGGCTAGTCCCGGGTTCGTCTGCAGTGCCGTGCGGAGCCACGGCATCAAAGGCGATCCAAACAATAAGAACAACGACACAGACTGACCGCACTTTCGCGAGAAAGCTGGGCCGATATGTCGTGCTTGCTTGGACTCAATGGAACTAGCACGCCAATTTTGTGCAGCTTTGCTCGTCAGCTTACCGCTGTGCTTCTGACTCGACCAGGCAGACCGGCATTGCTGCGGAAGTAGTCACCGGCAGACGACATACCACCCACCCCAATTCCGGTTCATGAGGTGCTTGGTGCTATGCTATCCGGCTCCAGCGAATCTTGCATGGCATAGGGTGGGCACGAGACAAGAACGGTACACCGACAGCTCAGATCGAAATCGTTGTACGACCAAAGACAATGCCCTTTGGGTTCGCGTCCAGGCCATCGGGTACTTGACGCAACGCCTTGTCTCAAAGCGATCCAGAGCCACTATGATGGGATGCATCATGGCAGCGCCTCAGCTGCCAAGGTTGCGCTGCCGGGTCACGTCCCAGAGATCGTCGGAACAATCAAAACCACGTTGTTATCGAGCAGCTGCTCGTTGAGGCTGCGCTGCTGGCGATCTGGCAAGAACGATGTCGGCAGTGCCCCACTCTCGGGCTCCGCGCCGGGCTGTGACAGCACATCCGCCAGCAGTGGAGGAGTCTGCTGCTTCCTGCCTCCCTGTCACACCGTCTTCGCTCAACCGCATCGCCGCGATAATGTATCGCATTTGACCCATTGTGCAGTTTCGGATAAAAGACGTGCTTCCGCCGGTTGAGAGCAGCGACCGACGTCGTCACCCCACGGCCGCGCTCTCCTTGCTGCGCGGGTGTAACGCGCGCCCACACGGCCTGCTGCAGACTGCGCCCTGATGAAGACATTGGTGACTGTATAGCACCACACCTCATCCTCGCACAGAAGAATGGGGCAGTAGCACGTCAGGCGGTGGCCAGACGCTGCTGCTGCTCAACAAGGAGAATTGCTGATCACAGACACTGACAACTCCAGAGCACGATGCGTCCGGACAAGTCCGCCGTCCGATTAATACGATACAGAGTATGAGCTGGCAGCAACCCACGCAGGTCAAGAGCTGATTCTGGTGCTACTGTGTCCCACGCAATGCAATTCTCGTCATCGAGCCTGACGAGCTGACAGGTAATGGAGCACAACCTGCAGCAGTTCTCGTCATCACCGCAGCGAACTGATCAAGTCCTCACAACGACGTGTCCGCATCCATGTGCGGCACCTTAAACGGCGCCCAGCCTGAATCGACACGTGCGCTAGACGCTAGAGCTTTCTCGATGGCAAGGCATGCCCTCCAACAGCATGACTGACAAGGACTATTCTGACGCAAGAGCCTGCGCAAGGGCAAGTCTCACAAATCGGGCTTTGACGTCAAACTTGAACTGGCTCGACTGGTACTAGACGCGAGCGCCGTTTGTCACGACTTCTGGGCCAGAGATCATCCCTAGCGAAGTACCACAGCGCGAGGTATTTTTGCTGATAGCAACAGCTTTAGCCTAGTCGGCCACACTACGCCAGCCGTACACAGTCATTTGCGCGAGAGACTTACGCTGCACCTCACTTCGGGTCGTTGTCATGCGATAAGGAGCCACAAATCATGTCGAATGATATGCCCTTGGACCAATGACCTCCGCTCCACATTGTAGTAGCAACCGGAGCCCCCGAGACATGCAATCCCTCATTGGAATCCGCACTGGTCTCACGCGAGGCGCGAACTTCTGGAGAAGCCCTTCCTACACTTTCTTACCACTACCATGCTCTCATTCGACGTAATAGCATGGATGCAGTATGACATCGGAGGGTCTCCCGACAATGAGCGCAATCGCGTTGCTGTCCGATGCATCACGGGCGATCTACACTCGTCATCCGGTCGACCAGCATCGCTGACACCAAGAACCACCCCAGCCCAACCTAGAGACCGCATTTTCCGTTCTCGAACTTCGTGGATCACTCATCGACAAATAGGGATCCCATGTCGCACCCCACATTGTCTGCCCTCTTCCGACAACAACCAACAACAGCAACAACAGCAACAGTAGCAGGCTGTAGCAGCGATGGATGCCAGACACCAAGACGTCAGACTTACGATTACGCACTTCTCTCCGCAAAGATCGTCATCATCTAGGACCTGCCCTGAGCGAACTGCCTCTTTCTAGCATCTCGAACCGAAGGTCGATTCAGATATCTCTTGGCTCGCTGGGTTGCGGAGTCCTCTCCCTTGATGATCTCTACTACCATGCCCGACTCCTCATAGCTAACCCCGACCTATTTTACCAATCAGCTTCGACGCAATTAATCAACTATGACCAAACCTCCAGCTTCGGGGTCCAGTCTCCAGAAGGTTATTGTACGGAGGCAGGCGTGTAGGGCTGACTCTGAGTTCCAGCGACATGGTTGTCCTCATGATTCATGCCTTGCCAGTCATCAAAGGAAACGTCAGGCACTGGTCCCGAGGTTCTGCTGATCGATATTTGGTCTTTCCTGCCGCAGAACGTGCAAGTCGCGGCGTCCTGAGGTCATGTCAGAAGTTCTGCCGTGCTCGCCCCTTCGCAGTCTCCTCCCCTCCGGTCATCGTGAGAGGGGCTATGCGGATCTTAATGGTTCAGTGCATCCTCTTGGCAAAAAAGATCGAAGTGAGGAAGATTCTCGGTTCAGTTTATCTTACTCCCGCACGACGCTCATGCCAGCCAGATTAAAGCAGAGCTTTACTTCGTACTTTGTAAGGAGGCGACGCTCGTGAATCGTCATCGAATTGAAGGTTTGTTTCGTATCTATCGCCTTGCAAATTGGTCGAATTGACACGACGGCTCTGGTGCTTTCGACAAACTGTAGGTAAGGGGCAAAAGTGTCATTTCATTTTTCCATTGTTTTTGAGCAAAAGTAAACGCCCACGCTAATAGTCTCACAAGAATGACGAGAATCTGTTCCTCTCTCGCCGCATCATCGATCTTCATCATTGCGCAGAAGCTGTAGCTGCCCCTTGTTGCTGCTGTTGAAACTTCAACATCGGTGCTCTCTTCTTCTTCCATTCTGCCATTGCTGCCGCGTGGTCAGCTTTCATCTTCTCGATTTCTTTCTGTCCTTCTTCCAAATGCTTCGCGACTCGCTGGTTAAACTCTTCAAGTTGCTCTTTTGTCAGATTCGTGAACGCATCTGCTTCTTTCGGTTTCGGGGGCTTGGTCGTTGGGTCACTGTCTGCTCGGACGTCGACATTCGGCGGAGCAAGAATGCCATCTGTTAGCCCTTTCAATTCGCCCATCAAGCCGAGGCCGAGATCTGGTGGGACGATTTGGCTGGTAGCGTAGGGTGAGGAGAATACTTCCTCCATCCAGCGGTGGTGTTGCATGTAGCGTGCAAGGCTGATGTCGCGTTGCGTGAGGTGGTCGAAGAAGTCGCCAAGAGAGGTGTCTTCTTCGGCTTCAATGGTCATATCGGGGATGCCTGCTGCTTCGCTCGAGCTGCCGGCCACAGGCAGGCCGGGAGGTCCTGCTACGCGTGGCTTCTTGGCAGGAGGGCCTTGTTGTGGGTACGCGGGGTATGGTCTTTGTTGTTGTGGGTGCGCATTTTGCATCATTTGTGCTTGGCCTGGGAGGTGCAGTGTGGGCCAGTGTTCGCGGTCGTGTAGCATGAACTCTCTTCTCTCTAGTCTCCCTTGACCTTCGAGCCATCTTCTCTGTGTGACAATTGTTTGAGTGTGCTGGCTGACTGGAACCTGACTCGCTGGCATGATCTGATTGTGGTCGGCAGAGTGATAGTGTACAATCCAGAGACTCGGATCGGGGTTTGCAGCGGCGACAGTCGGGCTCTTCGCGATGAAGTGGTAGCGTGTTCGAGCGTGCGTCGCCATATTATCGTGACCGGGCCGATAGCCTACTGTCTGGACGCGCAGTTCGAGCGTGTATCCGTTGAAGTCATGACGATAAGAATGTTCGACATCTCCCCACACGTAGCCATCTGAAGGGTATGGGTGATCCAGTTTCTCTTGCGGTATCCATTCGAGCCAAACGGTGCCGTCTTGCGGTGGGGTCACGTAATGCCATGACATGGGCGCGAGCTGCTTGACGATCGTGGGCGCATCGAGAAGGTAGCGATAGGCCTGTTCGACGCCTAACGTTGCGATGTATGGGAATCGGTGCGAGGAGATGAGGTGGACATGTTGCGCCAGTTGAGGAGCGACTCCTTGTGAGCTGGATGCTGTTAGCAGGCATACGTTAGATGATCTCGGTCGCACTTACGGGTTCTGCATCTTGATGGTATGCGCGACAGTGTGCGCTGGACAGATTGCAGGCAACGGAACGAGACTGGTTGCTGCGCTGGTTCGCGCATGTGAAGTTCGCGTCGGATGTTTCGCGACGAGCGTGTTCCGTTCAATATTTGACAGCCATATTGATGGCGAGCCCGTCACTTCGCCAGGCAGCCATGTGATGAGTCAGAACTCTGCTTAGCTAATGCGGCCACTGCCGGCGCTAACGAATCCGCAGCACAAAAAGGTTGTCCAACCTCCGCTTCCTCCTTCTTTTCTTCTTCATCCGAGTGCAAGGGCATTACGCATATCAGTGAGGATTCGTCCGAGATTGCGTTTTTGCTAGTTGAAAACTATCAACTGACTGCTCCAGTTGGTCTTCGGATCGGCTGGGAATTTTTGGCAACCTACCATCAACAGTATTGTTGAGATTTCTTTTCATCATGTGCGCGCTACAGAGCGTGGGCCTGGAGAAGAGATGGAATCCCCTTCCGCAGCCGCCGATGCGCCTTCAGAATCGCCATCCGCATCACCGCCGGCGCATCGGCACTGGTCAAGACGCGTTCGAGTACGCGATCTGATTTGGAATCGTCCACCTGCGACACCACGCCGCCAGCAGTGTCGCCTTGCGATCCGCTCGGCAAGCAGACATGTTGAAAGAGCTCTACAGGCTCATATGCCGGAACACCATCCTCGAACTGCACCTGCGACACTGCGAACGCCGAACCGCGCTGCGATAGTAACGAGCACGCGACAAGGAGGATCGAAGGAAGAAAAGCAGGGAACACGGCAAGATGCAGGATCATATAGAGACCCGGGAGCCTCCCTGAAGTGGGCAGCAAGATGAACAGGCGTGAGGACTGCGGAATCGCGTCTACATGCGCGTGTCATAAGCAAGGGCTCAATCGCGGTTTGCATTGGCTTGGGCCAGGTCTGGCGGACAGCCGATGGGCAAGTCGGCGACCGATCGATGAGAGCTCCAGGCCAGTGATCGCAAGACATTCGCTCTGAAGCTGGGTCCACAATATACTGCAGCGAAGTTTCTCGCATTGCTCTGGTGTGCAGAAAAGGCATTGCCTCTCCGGAGTTCAGTAACCGCTTCCGACCAGCCGTACCTGCTGTCAACACGCTACTCCGCGGGACAGTCCTTACTACCTCTGTGACAACAGTCTCTGCAGCGTTTCAATGCAACATGACTCCGTAGCTTTATTCGTTCACGAACGAGGAGGTCATCTCCGGCCTCGCGAGCTGCTTTGCGTTGCAGCACATGCGCGGACAATACCTACCACGAGACGAGCTGTCGTCGACCTTCCAAAACTCCAGACAATCAGGTGCATCCCGAACTCTTGGCGACTTTCAACCAATATCAGAAAGACAATTGAGGATTCGTTCGGCTCGACCATGGTCCGCTGTCTCCAGCTGGCACTTCTGACTTGCCAGAGCAGGAAAGCGCGGAAGAAAGCTCTGCGGCGACCTCTTTGAATACCACATCGACTTCCTCGTATCCGCATCAAACCAGCGCGCGACGCGTGCCAGCAGCCGACGAGGGGAACCAAGACCTGTGATGAAAAAAGGGGTCGAAAGATCAACATCAAAAATGTGAGACGCAGCCATGCGAAAGCGGACTGCTCGAACATATGATACATATATGCTGAGGTCTACAGTGGTTCTCTTCTTGCGGAGCTCACCCGCCTGCTGCGACCACCGTTGTTCCTCGACTGCCCATCGAGACTAAGGAGATGGGAATTTTGCGTGTCCCTTGGCCAGACCGGGTCCTTCACAGCATGTCTGACTGATTCTGTCAATACAATCTGTCGGACGGATATAGAGCGGCATGGATCGAAGGACATGATCTAGCTTCTACATCCCTCAACATCTTCACGCTTTCCAGGTCTCGAGGACGAAGCCTGTATCCCAGGAAACTGTACAACTTCGTTTCAGTGTACCTGTCTCCGGTTCAGATCTTGTCGCGGCTGCTTGTTGCTAGTTGCTTGGTGGAAGTGACAAGGCTCTGCTTTTGGCGAATGGAGAGGTGGCGACGCAGTATGAATTCCTGTCGGGCGCTTTTAATGATTTAGATGATCAGTGTGAGGAACTGGTTTGGCTTGAGAGGTGTAAGGTCGGTGGAGCCAGCGCAGATCACGTGGCGCTCAATAACATCAGCTGTTCAAGCCACTATCACGGAAACTCGTTCAAGCTGGAGAAAATCTCCAATGACCTTCCAGCTTTGGCTAGCATCGACTCCTCTTTCGAATCGATTTGTCATACAGTTCGGTTGACCAGCACCCGTCGAGGTCGCGACTTGCGTAGTCAGCCAGCCACGTTTTCGCTGCTGTACAATATGCGGATTGTCACACCTACCCGATTAGCTGGCAATGCAACAAGCTTCCGCATTGCAGAACATTTGGCACTTGGCGATGTCTAGACCGTTTGCCTACGGCCAACGGCGATGCCGTCGTGTCGACATTCAACGAGGGCGGCGGCGGCGTGAAGAGCACCTGCTGAAAGCTGGCCTGAGCCCTCAATAGACGTTCCAGTATGTTTCCCTCGTCTCTATTCGAAATCGGCAACCATGCTCTGCTCGATCCATATCCTCACTTCTCTGCTGGCCATTCGAGCCGTCGAAGGGAGCGTGCTCGCAGAGCGACATACCGCCGTACCAATCAATTTGCAATTCTCTGTCCCGGGCTCTATCTTCTCGGCTCTCAGCAATGGAAATTTCTTGAGCAATTACCTCCGGAAGGAGACCCAGTCTGGATCGAATCGCGGCCAGAGCTACAACAATTTGGACATCAAACAACTTGCCCAAGGTCTCTTCGTCATTGATCGATTCTTGAGTGAAGGTCCCGACGCCGCGGCTCGTCTAGGCGCGACGTTCTCAGGCGGCCCCGGAGAGGGCAAGGTCCCAAGCACGAGTCCAGTGAACAACAACCCTGATGATGAATCAATTTACTCCGAACACACGGCGGCAGGAGCTGCTGGGCCTAACGGTGCTGATGATTCAAGTCTTTCTGCGGGAGGCTTTGCCAATGGTCTTGCTGCATTGTGAGTGGCATTTTAGCCAGTGGCACCGAGCGGCAGTGCAATAGTACTGACATATTCCCACTTAGTGCCGCCGGCGTCCTCTACGGACCCCGCTTCCGCAGAGGAGCTGCCTGCAACAATCTCGGACCGGGCAGAACTGATCCTGATCCTAGACGACAAGCCGCTGCAGAAGTGTTTGGCTCCATTTTGGCGCCCGGTTTCGGCGGGAGTACAACTGCTGACTGTGATGCCAATTATCAAGAATTTGTCAAACCCACTACTGGACCTGTGGTTGTCGTGACTGCTCAGGTATCGGGGGTGAAGATGGCTCGTACAGTATCACAGGTCAGAGACCTGACGATCTGTTACTGTTAGCCAATTGTGTTGCCGGGGCTACTGGAGCAAAGGCCACGAGTACTTTCTCGACCACATTGGTCTGGCCGATCAACAACCCATCTGCCAACAAAACCTTTGGTTACGACGGCTGTTCGACCTGCATGGCGGGTGTGAGCTCTCGGAATAGACGCGTGCCGTTTTATGAGGGAAGGAGCACGAGCCGGGTGCAGGGAGCACCGGACTATTTGCCGGAAGGAGGTGTCAAGGCGGTGGTCAGTTGCAATGGGATATCCGCGCCACAGCAGAAGTCCAAGGTGGTATACACTATCAAGATCAAGGGGACGTTCACCCGTGCCAAAGGGTTCGTGGGTGCTTTGACTGTCAAGAAGACGTCGAGTGTGGCGGCGAGTTGTAAATGATAGTGATTCGTCGGTCCGCCATCTTGGAGCAGCCTGTACGCTGCTGGACTCTCCAGCAAAGTCGTTTGGCATCCGCGCCATCATGGGCCAAGCTCTTGGGTGGTGTCCGAATCTTCGAGTTACGGCTGATGATTACTTTGATTTATTTGCCGTTTGTTAGTTTAGCAATCTCCACGTCTGCTCGATGACATTTCACTCCGACAAATCTCTGCTTTGGAGTTCTCCAACTCGCGGAGCTGCTCCACAAGGCCGCTCAGGATGTGGACGTACAGCTGAGCGACTTCTCCTGCAGTGTTATTGCCAGTATCGGTCTCCACACTGCGCTGACGGTAGCGACACGGTCCCAGAGAAACTTCTGCCCTGCCTCGATGATGGGTGAGTCTGAGGCGTTGTATGATGTGTCGGCGCTGAGCACAAACGAGGTGGACAAATCTGCCCTTTCGGAACAAGGGTTGCCGGCTCCGGACATGTCACTTCTGCTTTAACCTCTGCCGATATATATGGTAGTCGCACGCCACCTTCCACCCCAAAACCATCTTCCTACTTTCCTTATCCACCGACACCCTTTTTCCGACGCGTCAAGCCGATCACCAAGAGCCACATCAAAATTTGACCAACATTGACTATTCAGCACGTGAATGGAAGCCAAGTCGGGCCGAGAAGGAGACAGGGACAAATTGGGGACACGGAAGGTCGTGTACGGTAGACCTCAAGACCAATTTTGATCGAATAACCGACAGGGGCCTTTGTAACACCGCAGAGCTTGTCCTAAGATTACTCGGCATTCCAAGAATTATCACTGGTCAAGGCTCTTGCGGGAACCATAGACTGCAGTAAGCTTGCCAAGACATCCAATAGCCAAGCCTTGTCCACATTCATCCGCACACGCGCGCTTGATTAGCAACATGTCCCCAGTTCAAGCTGCACCATCCGCAGCCGATCCAATCCATTGAAGAACAGTGTGACGTGACGCGACAGCTCGGGCTCTGCAGATCGTCGGACCTACCACATTGTTGCTTCCGAGAATTCGACGTTGTCCTAAGACCTTCCGACAGGAGACAGTCGACAAAATTATGAACTTGCTGCCTGACTTACAGTGAAACACCAAGACCCATTCTCGTGCGATACCATGTCCTCACGGCTTTCGGAAGTATCAGGGCGTGATGGAGCATGGCAAGTAGCAGTGTTACTGCCGCGCACTGTGACCGTAAGTGCTCCCCCCACATGTTTCCGGAGATAGCATTCTTTCCGGAAGAGTGACCACAGCGGTCACAATTCGGTTGGCTAATCCGTAGACATTCATTGGATGTATTCGTGCAACCGCAACTTTGAAGCTCCGACCCGGGCACGCAGCACAAAGTGCCTTCGTACTCGGGTTTTGTAATTCGACCGAAACATCTTTCCTACTGTAGCGGAGCGGCTCTGGATATCGCGGTCTCTAGTTCAAGTCCAACGTCTTGGACCTTAGGAACGATGTTGGATCGAACGACTCCAACATGGACTCTGCGCTTCACCGCATTGTGATCGTCGCTGGACTTTTCAGCGTTTTCTTGACGCTTCGCGCTTTGTATCGATTGCTGGTGCATCCACTGGCGCGCTTCCCTGGTCCCAAGTATGCGGCCATCTCTCGAAGCTGGCAAGGGAGCGTGGTGCTGGCCGGTGCTCCAGAACAAGAGTACGAGCGACTGCACAAGCGATACGGTCGGTCTACTCTGCAAGGTCTTTTGCTACCTTCACTGGCCCTGATTCGATTATGCAGACAGTCAAGCCCTTCGGATCGGCCCCAATGAACTGCATATCAGCGACGTGAAGCTTTACAAGACGATATACAGCCAGACCAACCCTTTCCCCAAGCATGACTACTTTTACGAATGTTTCAACACCCCACACACGTTGTTCGTGGAGACCGATGTATTATTACACAAAGAGCGACGAAAGACGTTGAATCCATTGTTCTCGCGCACCGGCGTGGAGCAATTCCAACCGGTAATGGCTGAGAAGTTACATCAAGTTGGGACAAAAGTTCGAAGGATCAGTGAAAATGGTCCGATTGAAGTGAACAACATGATAAGGTGAGGCTGTTAATCCATCACTAGCTGCACAAGGAAACTAATGGGTCAAGATCAATGACGGTGGACATCATATCGCAATTGGCATTCGGCAGTTCACTAGGTCTCATTGGGGAATCCAAGGATTCGTTCGAGGCTGCGTTCCTGCAAGCGTTCGATGTTGCCGGCGCCGCGATCTACGGCATGTATTACAACCCACTACAAAAGTTCGCCTCCAGTCTGGTACCGCTGGACGTGCTTGGAAAGTTGGACACTGGTCTAGGAGAATTAGCCAGGCTGCAAAGATACGCCAAGGATTCACACGCCCGGTTCATTCGACGCAACGATGAGGAAAAGCAATCATCGCCGCACCCAATCATATTCGATCGCTTGATGGGCGTTCCAATTGACCAACAAGTCACAGAGAGCATAGATATCCTTGTTGCTGGCTCTGACACGACTGCCTTCACATTGACCGTCTGCTTGAACGCTGTGCTCTCCAATGCACATCTGAAGCAGAAGGTGGTCGCTGCGGCCGATGAGGCTATGCCCGATCTTCACAAGCTCCCTTCATTCATTGAGCTTGAGAAGAATGCATATCTCTTCGCTGTAGTGAAAGAGTCCTTACGCTTTGCTATGGCTGTCCCAGGAATGCTTCCAAGGGTGGTTCCGGAACGCAGTCAGCCATTCATGGTCGATGGCAAGGTCGTTCCTCCAGGCACGGTTGTCGGCATGTCAGTCTATACTATGAATTTCTCCGAGGAGCTCTGGGGCCCCGACGCGAAGGAATTCAAGCCTGAACGATGGCTTGGAGAGCAGGCGAAGACTTTGGACTCTGGGCTCGCCACGTTCAGTAAGGGGTCCAGGCAATGTATTGGGATCAAGTATGTAACCTCCGTCTTTCTTTTTCAGCTCGTTTACTGATCAAATTGTAGTGTCGCTCATGCTGAAGTCACACTCGCCATCACTTACCTTTTCCGCAATTTCGATATGGAGTTGGTCACGCCGAACATGAAAATTCGGGATGTGTTTACATACCAGGTTCTGTCACCTGGTCTACAAGTTCGGTTTACAGATAGAACTTGATTCCGAGTATGGAACAAGTAGAGCAACCAGCAAAACATGATGGGCTCTTGCAATGACATCCCGTCATTGGCTTCAAGATCTGTTTTGCTATATGTTGCAGGAGGCGACTTGGAGTAAGGATCAGCTCTTGCGTCGAAGCGATGCCTCAGCGGGCGGGTGATCATGTGCCGTTCAGAACAGTGATTGCCAATGTCGCCAAAAGTTGGCAGGATTCGCCCCCCTGCAGGTTCAGTTTGCCAAAAATTCCCAGCCGATCCGAAGACTAACTAGCGAGAGCAGCCTCCACGGAGGTTTTTGTTGAATTGAAGCGTTCAAATTATCCCAATGAAATTTCACGACACATTGATTGAAAAATGTGATGGCTTGTCAGACCAAGCGATAACCCGTTGGGCTGAGATGGAAACAGACACGACAAATACTGGATGTGTTACTATTCTGATCGATGCATGTGATTGCTCCTGTCAGTAAGATGTCTTTGGGTTGATACTGTATACATTCGTCGCTGATTTGCATTGGAGTCAACTCCTCTCGCGAGCTTGTTGTTCACGCCTTCTGCTATGCACTTTGTTTGCGAGCTGTTGACAGCTACGATTACATCTAGACTTATGCGACGGCCTGGTGGTGTGGAGGGAAATTATGTTCTTTTTGTGGCAACAGACTTGCCAGGATCTGTTAGTATACAAGCAGTTGGTGTCCCTAGGAAGAATAGATATTAAACATGTCATTGAGACTGTGACGGTATGGTTGGTACTACACTCCTACGCCCTTTGCACACTTGACCGAGCCTCGTCTCTACGCCCTCTAAGCCCGTCTTATCCTATCAACACCTCTCATCACCTCCTCAAGAAAATCTCCAAATGTTGCGCATACAACTCCGGCTCCTGAAATAGATGCCCATGTCCCGAATCAGGGAACAGCACAAGACTCGCATTCGGAATATTCTGATAAAGCACATAACTGTTCACCGTAGGAGACATAACATCCGTATGCCCATTCGTGACCAAGGTCGGCGCTGTGATATCCTTCAAACGATCGAAATTACTTTCATTCACCGTGAAAGTGAAAATAGCAGCCAACTGGTTCCGTACTCCAGCACCAAGTAAGTAGTCCTTTCGTGGCTCGTCGGGGAGCTGTCGTTCATGAACTCTCTTCCACCACGCCTCGCCAAGCGTTTTGCTCGTTTCGGTGGGGTAGTAGAAGAGGAATAACATTTGTTCCAGACTTGGTGGTGCTTCGTTATCGCCTGCACCTTCGAGGACTTCTTTTGGTGGTAGGGCCACACCTTCTCCGATCGATGATTGGGTTCCCGCGAGTACGAGTTTGCGGACGAGATTAGGATGGGTTCAGGCAATATATTGAGCGATCCCTCCGCCCATGGAGAAGCCTATCAGGTCAACCAGGCTCACGTTAATAGCTTTCAAGAACTTGACAGCGATGTCGGCCATTCCTTCGATTGAATTAGGGACGGTGCCTTCGCTGTGTCCAATGCCGAAGCTGTCGTAGACGATGATCTCGCGATTCTTGGCAATCGATTTGACAAAGAGTGGATCGATTGTGTCCATGGAACCTCTGAGGTGATTGATGTACACCAGAGGAACGCCATCTCCTTTTCCGAGGCGTCGATAGGCAACTTTGATGCCATCGACAGTCGTGTACTGTGTCGGAACGGTCTGGTAGGTCGACATGGCGTAGACCTGTGGTGATTCGTTTGAGGAAACAAGAGCGTCTGGGTCTATGAGCCTCAGTCCAAGCATAAACGTTTTGTCTTTATAGCATCCATCGCTGCGTTGTATCTTCGCCGGCTTTTCGGAACTTCCTGGTAATCACTCAGCTTTCTGAACAGAACAACCTCTTCTCCGAGATTATAAATCACGAGCACCTCTATGTTCAGTTCCTCCGCTCCGGAGCGCCATCGACCATAGAGTAAATTGAGTGAAATCTGCGAGGACGCCGACAAAGTTGGCTGAATGTGGAGCTTGGCGTTTTCGCATGATTAGTGAGCGCAACGTGATCATAGACCTACAGTGCAACGCAGCAACCCGCCTCGGCTGATCACCATAATTTCAGTATGCTCCGCTCCGGAATCCTGACGAACAAACTGCGGACGTGTAAATGGTAAATCCATAAAGATGCGCTTTTCAAGCATGATGGCCATGCAGAGCCGTTGGTATCGCAAGCCTTTAGCAACAAGCCACCTAGTCCGTAAACATGTCTGCAACAACAATGAAGGCGTGGCAGTTCACAGATCCTTCGCATGGTCTTGAACTGAAGACGGTTCCGATCCCGGAGCCAGGACCTAACCACGTTCTCGTCCAGGTCAAAGCCGCCGGGCTCTGCCACACAGACTACAACGTCATATCGGGCCTCGACACGACATTTATGTTCAAGCGCCCCATTACTCTTGGCCACGAACTCGCTGGTGTTGTAACAAAAACGGGCTCCGGTGTGACAACGCTCACAGCAGGTGATGTAGTCGTCGCTGTTATCGCTGCAAAACGTCCTTTCAAGCTTCATGATGCGGCAAGCATGCCAGGCCTTGGTTATGATGGCGGTTTCGGGGAGTATGTCATTCTTGAGGAGCACAAAGCGCTACGCATTCCCCCAGGTCTCAGTTTCGCCGATGCAGCTGTGGCAACTGATGCTGTGGGCACAGCTTATCACGCAGTCTTCACCGCGGGGCAGGTCAAATCTCAGGACAAAGTCGCCATTGTCGGCCTCGGTGGGCTTGGCTTGTGTGCAGCGCAGCTTGCAGCGAGTGTCATCGGCGCAGAGGTCCAAGCGATCGATTTGGATCCTAAGAGATTCGCCGCAGCTTTGAGCTTTGGAGTGAGACGATGCGCCAAGTCCTTCGCTGGCCTTCCGGGAAAGAGGTTTGATGTGATACTTGACTTTGCAGGTGCAGGAATAACGACGTCCGACGCTGTGATGTCCACAGAACAAGGAGGCACTATCGTGTTAGTGGGGCTCGGCAGCAAAGAGTGCACGCTGAACACATTTGAGTTTGTGTTGAGGAATGTTGTCTTGAAGGGCACGACCGGCGCTTCGCCGGATGAAATTCAGGCATGTATGGATCTGATCGCGGCAGGAAAGTTCAAGACCACGAATGAGGAAATACCGTTCGATGGAATCGCGGCAGGAATTGATAGACTTGTCGAGGGAGGGGCGATCGCAAGGTTGTGGGCAGATCCATCACGAGGTTAGGAGAGGGAGATGTTTGTCGCTCGGATGCACGGATGCCTGAATGCCTCATTTCTGTATTTGTCTTTCTCGTTCCTCATTTCCCTCTCCCCATCCTTCCTCCACATGACAACGGCGAATTTCTTTCTCTGATACCGATCCTGCTGGCCGGCCTATGGACCGGAAAAGGGCAGTCATGCCTCATCACGACAAATGCATTCATGGCTCGTTCCTCTCTTCATCATGTGCGCGCAGACGAGCGTGGACCTGGAGAGGAGATGGACAGAACTCGGGCGGCGAGGAGGAGATATGGAGATTGGGCCTGCTGAGTGCGATGAATGGAAAGATGCGTAATGGTACCTGTGCGACGGAGCGCAGACATTTGCCCCGCGTGTGAGCATGGGGTCGAGTCGAAGTGACAGTGACTGGTGTGACACAGAGCTGCCTAATCCATCTTATTGCCATTCACCTCAGCAGCAATTCACTTCAAGCGGGTCCAAAATTGTGCTGATCAGCCTTCAGCTGTCACTGGCACTTAGACTCGAACATCGCACTCGCCTCCGACAAAGATGGATCTCAACAACACTCCTTCCAAGGTGGAGTTGAAGCGACCGTTTGCAGATATGGCGACTGGCGACAGACCAGCGAAGCGGCAGTCGATATCGCCGCTAACATCGCCTTCCTTCTCGCGCGGCAGCACTGTCACCCTCGATGGGGATAATGACAATGTCATCGGCGCCTCACGCAAGATTGCCAACAACCTCGCCGGTCTTTACACGTATTTCAGCGAACAGACACCGCCGCCTCCTTCGCCAGGCAAGCCCCAAGAGTCAAATGTTCGTATTTCATCCCGTGCGTCTTTCGAGTTCTCATCTAACGCAGATACCAGATCTCCGAAGACATGCCCATGGAAACCACTAATGACGAAGAAACAACCCCTCCCGCAGCCACCTCAGCACCACCCGCCACGGATTCCGATGAAGAATACATCGCCAACGCCCAAGCAGCACTCAAATACGTCGACCCGTTCGGCCCCAACGGCACTGAGAAAGAAATGCTAGAAGCAATCGCACAGCCAATACCAGAACTCGCCTTCCGGCCCTTCGGTCTCAAGAACCAATCCTCCTTTGCTCAAGATCTATTCGAGGACCAACCCATCCCTCTCTCCTCCCTCCGCTACCCCCCCATCTCCAAAAACTTCCCCGACGTCAAAGACGAGCTGCTAGATCTGTACATCAAACTCAACACCTTCAACGTCAAAGTCTGGTCCAACTACGATGCTTCTAAGAAGAAGTTCTTCGACGACGAACCACGTCTTAGCGACTGCGGGAGACTCATCCTTTCGCCCAACGTGCGTATGCGGCTTGAGGTTTTGGACTCGGGCAGAGTAGGTCTGGAACTCCCAAAAGTTGAAATGGAGATCGGAACTGCTTTCCGGACATTGGGCGTGCTGTATCTGAAGTGGGTCAAAAATGGCATCGGAGGTCTGTATGAAGTGGAAGTTTCAGCGGTGATGCTTGAGGGCTACGAGTACGACTGGTTGAATTGGCCACGTGGTCCGGTCAGGCAACAGATTAGCGTGGCGATGAATCAGGTTGCAGCACGACCCAAGGAGGAGTGGGAAGGGAAGGGTGGATTTAAGTTGGGAGATTTGGATTTTGTTGCGAGCATGTTTTTGAGGTTGCGTGAGAGAGGATCCGTTTGAGAGATTGGAGAGCAGTGGCTTGTGGTATTGATGGAATTGAAGCAGATGAGATTGGATTGGGGATGGGAGCGAGGGAGGCGATTGAATTCTGCTACATCAGTCGCATTGCCGAAAGAGTAGTACAGGGAGCCTACACATCAATGGGTTCATCATGGCAACTTCATCGCACGTTTTGAGAGAATCGCATAGAGTAGTAGGACCCTCCAAGCTCGACAGCACAAGGCGAAAGCCGAGAGAGTGAAATGAGACTTTTTCTAATTTTCGACCACTGATCATCATAAGCTCTACCTATGATCTGCAAAGCAAGTGCCAGTGATCCCCTTTCGCAAGCCGAGGACGCAAGACAGAGTTCCGTCCATGCATCCCTTCATGCCAGCTAACGTATCAGAAACAGCCAGAAAGAACACCATACCAGATGCTGATCATATACCCAGCGCCCCAGCCGAGTCATGCCATGTGAAGTAAGAAACGCCAGTTTTCTTTTCTTTTTCGGGACCTTGCTCCAGTCATCTTTCCATCAAGCATTGATGAAGAAAGAGCCGCGGATTTGTTGCAGGTGATCAGATCAGATCGAGTCGCCGCAGCCGCAACGCCTGACCAATTTCGCAGAGGTGATAGGGCAATCGAAGACCCTATTCCTCCATGACCGAATCCGCATCATCATAGTCCAGCCCCACCATCTCCTCCATAGCGCCTTTCTTCTGTCTGTCCAGATCGAATTTCTTAGTGCGCCGATAGGGCTTGGAGATACCGCCCCCACCCTTCAACACCCCAATCTTCTTCTGCTGCTGCTGCATAGCATTCACTCCCGTGGCAAAGTTCGTCTTGGGTCTGAAAACCAACCCAGGCAAGACTCGGTCAGTAGTGACAGCAGCGTGAGTAGTGATCGCAGGCTTTCTACGCCCACTCGCATCCTCCTCGAAAGAAATCGGAACCTCCTAGGCCCCGCCTCGCGCATATGGATGAAAGCCTCCACCGCGGCCTCCGCGACCACCGCCGCGGTAGTTTCCGCCGGGCTTTCCGGGGTTCTTAGGACCTGTGGGAGCTCCGGCTGGAGCGTTGGGAGGCTGAGCAGAACCTTGACGACCTCCGCCGCGACCTCCGCGTCCGCCAAAGTTGCCGCGGTTGTTGTGGCCACCGGGACCCATCATGTTGTCCGGAGGTGGGACGTCGTCGTACATTCCATCCCAGGTGTTCTGGCCTCCGAAGTTCTGTCCTTGCATGCGGGCCATGGTTTGGCGTTCATATTTCTGTTGTTCGAACATGAGTTGATCTTGAGCGGTGAAGCCACCTTGTTGACCTTGCTGACCACCGCCGTTGTTGTTGCCGTTACCGTTTCCTCCGGCACTGCCTGGTCCGCCGCGTCCCATACCGCCGTTCATGGGAGACTGTGAGTTGGGAAAGCCGCCGCCGCCGCCACCACCCTGCATGGCAGCCATTTGCTGCATCATGGCCGGATTCATCTGTCCGCCACCTTGCTGAGCAGCACGCATAGCTTGCATTTGCTGCATCATCATCGGGTTCATGCCGCCCATCATGGGGTTCATGCCACCTCCTTGCTGCATAGCTTGCATCTGAGCAAAATACTGCTGCATGCGTTGCCAGTATTGTGCCATCATGGCAGGCGTCATCTGGTTCGCGTTTCCATCGGATTGAGCTGGACCTCCGGCCATCTGGTTGTTGTCCCCGAATCCACCGTCGCCTCCTCCACGACCAGCGCCGCCAAAGCCGCCACCGCCACGTCCTCCACGCCCACCGAAACCGCCGCGGCCGCCAGAGCCTTCTTCTTCGCCCATCTTGCCACGCGGCTGAGCGCGCTTAACCTCGATGGGCTTACCAAGGATGGCCAGTGGACCCTCGAGGGTGCGCTCAACAGCCATTTCGTTGTCGAACGTCACAAATCCGAAACCACGTGGTCGTCCGGTATCCTTGTCCATCATGAGCGTGGCATCGAGCACACGACCAAACTTCTGGAAAAAGGCTTCGAAATCCTGCTCTGTCGCATCCTGTGAGACACCGCCAACGAAGATCTTTGCCGTACGTTCCTGTTCGTCGCGAGGGATAGCACGCTTGGGATCGATCTGTAATGTACAAGTTGTGTTAGGCTTCTTTCTTTTACTTCTTTTCGTCTTGCGCTTGACACGACAAGTCGTTGCAAAAAGGGGAACATCGTTGCATAATCTTACAAGTTTGCCGTCGAGGGAATGTTCTTTGACCATGACTGTGTTGACCGTCTTGGGGTCCTTGAAGGTGAGGAAACCGAAACCTCGAGAGCGGCCTGTTGCGCCGTCACGCATGACAGTGCATTCCACGACTTCTCCAAATTGAGAAAAGTAGTCTTTAAGAGACTCTGTGATGATTTGTTAAAACGCTGTGTAGATTGGACACATGACGTGGATTGATGCTTACGATCAGTCGTCTCCCAGTTAAGGCCTCCGATGAACATTTTTCTACAGGCATATTGTTAGCTATCTGAGCGTGAATATAATGGTAAAGTACAGCGCGGCGTGAGCGTGAGCTGGCGTTAGTGCGTTCGTCCGGCCCCCAACACCATCTATGCCCAGTTGATCTCCGGAACAAGTCGCCACAGATTTTGCCAAGCAAAGATTTCCGCATCTCTCAGGGACGTAGGGCGACAGGACCAGAGTGCGTTGCATTGCTGACGGCAGACCAGGCCGTCATGTCATCGTAAGACGAGAGCGGCGTGTATTGCATTGAGGTTGTGGCTGTCGCACGTGCCGCGGAGGCACGATACGAGCGTGCGGGAAGCCATCTCATGCCAGCATGCCAGCCAGCCATGTGGGGTAGCCGACGACCATGAACTTTGTCCAAAGGAAAAGAATTCCCTTTTCATCATCGACGATGGCGATTGAGGTATGCAGCAGTAGTATATCTTCTCGCTCTTGCGCGTCTTCGATTTCTCAAGCTGAACGCATGCTATCAAGGCCGGCCATGTGCGCACGTCTAGGCGTGGCAGAGATTGGCGCGGCTGCATAGCTACATCGGCTATCTCCTCTCTGACGATGATGATGATGACTGCCTGTCTGTCTGCATGATCTGCTATTTGTCGCTTGAGGCGAGGTTATTGGCTTGAAGCTATCATCGCTGTTCTGTGTTGTGTACTTGCGATCCTGATTCGGCCCCTCTTTCCTCCCTTCGAGCAATCACGATCAAGGCTGTAGTATGGTAGTGTGATCATGATCCAGTATATATCGGCTTCCTCGTCTGCCAAGATACGCAACAATGTGCACCAAGTATCTGACGCGACTCAATATCTGCGAGGCTGAAATCATCCTTGTCCATCCCAGAATCCGACCCCTCCATTATAAGATTGTTCAGTCGTCGACGCGATGGTTTTTCCAGGTAATGTGTTTCCGGAATATTTGATGTTTGGCTGATGAGGACATGATGCACGGTGCATGTGCGTCACCAGTTGACAGAACACCAGTTGAACTTTGCAGTCTTCGTCGCCTCTCTTCTTGAGGACGAGCCGATTTGCCGTTCTCAAGTGGAAGCGACTGAGATTCGTCGCATGACGTTGCGCTTTGTCTCTCAACTGTGTTACGCTTGACATCTTTCTCGCATCGCACTCGATTTCAATAATCACGTGCCGTAGGCCTCAGAGATACCAGTGTTGAGTAGATGAAGCTCACCGCTGCTCACGCCGCGCAGAAGAAGGCAGATGAAAGAAAGGAGATATACTTACCCATCCTCCTTGGTTCCGATCAGGGGCCTATTGTCCGGAGTCGGATCTCTGTACTCGGTATGTTGATTGCCCATGTTCTGATCGTACGAAGGCTGCTGCTCTTGATGACCGCTGGCGCCGTTGCCCTGGTGTGACTCGACTGTCGGCGCTGCGGCCTGTTGGTTGAGGAAATCATCAGCGGCAGCCGCAGCCGCAGCATCGGCATCAGCAGCAGCTTGTGGTGCGGGTTCGGTCTTGGTGGGCGCAGCGGGCGCGTCGTTTGCGGTGTCGTCGCCGTCGTAGCTAATAGCAGTCAGTGTCGCGCGCGGGAGGTGGAAGGTCGGCGGGCGGGCTCACAGATCAGCGAAGAGATCCTCGTCGTCCATGCCCGGCTCGGCCATGGTCGCGGCGGGTCGGAGTGAGGATGCGCGGTAGAGGATGTCGCAGATGCGAGGAGGAATGCGGGTGGTGTCGATGAAAGAGAGTGGACGAGGTGGGTGCGGTGGGTGGAGTGGTGGTGGTGCAGAAAGCGGAAGCTGCAGTTTGTGTCAGCGGCGGGTGAGCGGTGCCTGAGGACGCAGCACCTGCACGCTAATGCGTCACGAGATGGGGAAGCAGATGTTGGCTGCATTGGGAAGATCATCTCGATTTCAAGCCGACGTCTTCTGCTAGTCGCTGTCTGCTGTCACAATGAACATGAACTTCAGAAAGCCCTCCCACCAGGTGTGTCCCTTCTGACCAACTCCTCTCTTCCAATTCCGACAAATCTAACGGCGTCGCAGCAGGAGATGGTCCAGGTCGGTTCGTGTCGCGCCCTCATCCACCCGCCGACCAACGCTCGCAGCCACCCACGTTATTACCAGACCGGCCGCTGACATGGACATTTGGGCCTTCATAGACCGCACCGAGTGAGTTGGCGTCTGTTCAGTCACTCTGACTACATCGTAACTGATGTGGAGCAGCACTACGTCTCCCTTCTGGCGATCCACGTCGGCCACCAGCAATCGCAGCAGCAGCAGCCACAATGCGAATAACCCCTCTACCACCCCAAACGCGGACACGCCCGAGCCGACAACGCGCAAGGTCATTGGAGCGTCCTACAGCCATGCCGATATCCTGAACTTCAATCAACTGTACGCTGCATCGAGCCACTTCTCGCGACAATGCGCTCATGCATGTAGGTAGATCCCTCTCTGGCAACGATCGACCACGAACACCGCCCACCGATCCCCGCAACAGTAAGAACACGCCCTCGCCTGGAAACACGCGATCACCGCCAACGCGACCCAAATACTCCTCCTTCCTGGCCGAGTCGAGCAATGCCTACGACGATGACGACGATGGCGACGCATTCGGTCTGGAGGAGGACGATGAAGATGAGTTCGGCCTGCCCAGCATAGCGTCTATGCGAAGGAAGAACAAGCGATTATCAAAAGCGAAGGCCAAGGATCCAGGGGGAGGGCTAGGCAAAGGCAGCAGCAGTAGCAGCAAGCAGTTCGGCGGGGCACTGACTGGGAATGGGGGCGCGACTTCGCTGTCTTCCGCATCATGGGCAATGGACAATGGCGACATGGCAGAGATGCGCACTCAGATACCAGCCTACCCGTCATTAAAGAAGAGCACGGAGGGACAGAAGATCTTGCGACCACAATACAAGGAAATCCTCCGAGATCCTGCCAACTCACTCCACCTGATATCGCATCCTTCATTACCGCCGAATGCGGCAGCAAAAGAGGCCGAGGCACACTCCGCACGAATCACGCGAATAAACAAGTTCAAGCGAATACTGCAAGCATCCTCGGTCAATCTGGCTGAATTGCGAGACTCTGCCTGGTCAGGTCTACCTCCTGAAGTGCGAGCCATGACCTGGCAGCTGCTGCTAGGCTATCTTCCCACAAGCTCCGAGCGTCGTGTCGCCACACTGGAACGAAAGCGGAAAGAGTACCTCGATGGAGTGAGGCAAGCTTTCGAGCGGGGTGACAGGTCGGCAGACATGCCTACTTCACCTAAATCTCCTCGGGTGGGCGGGCGAGGTCTTGATGAAGCCATCTGGCATCAGATCAGTATCGACGTCCCTCGAACGAATCCACATTTAGAGTTGTACAGCTACGAGGCCACACAGCGATCACTGGAACGAATATTGTATGTATGGGCCATTCGACATCCCGCATCCGGTTACGTGCAAGGCATCAACGATCTTGTGACGCCGTTCTGGCAGGTCTTTTTGGGACAGTACATCACAGATCCCGAAGTCGACTCGGGAATGGATCCTGGCCAATTACCGAAAGCTGTGCTGGACGCAGTCGAGGCTGATTCATTCTGGTGTCTGACCAAACTTCTTGATGGGATTCAAGATAATTATATTCACGCCCAACCTGGAATTCAAAGACAAGTCGCGCAACTACGAGATTTGACAGCGCGCATCGATGGCGGGTTAGCGAAACACATGGAGAATGAAGGAGTGGAGTTCATTCAATTCTCCTTTCGATGGATGAATTGCCTCCTCATGCGGGAAATTTCCGTGAGGAATACTATTCGGATGTGGGATACATATCTTGTAAGAGCTTCCCTTCCTCCCTTCTCATCCAACAACTACTGACTAAACTTTCTTTTCTGCTTAGGCCGAAGATCAAGGCTTCTCAGCGTTCCACTTATACGTCTGCGCAGCGTTTCTGGTCAAATGGTCGGATCGTCTACAACAAATGGATTTCCAGGAGATCATGATGTTTCTACAGTCTTTGCCTACGAAAGACTGGACAGAGAAGGATGTGGAATTGCTGCTGAGTGAGGCTTTCATCTGGAAAAGCCTGTTTGCGGGGAGTAAAGCGCACGTCAGGCAGGGAAGTCAAGGCGTGCTTGGGGAAGGAAAGGGCGGGAGAGGCTTGCAGTTGTGAAATGCAACCCGAAGTCATGAACGGCTCTTGGGAGGGAATGAAGACAGAAGCAAACGCTGGGATGGATATACCCTTGGTATGCTGCTAGGGTGGAATCAGAGAAGATGGGATGGAAAGCAAGGTACGAATACGAACACGGCATCTCGCCGTTGGAATCAATTGATGATGTGCACAACAATGCTCCTATCTCTTTTTTCGCCTCTCTTCTCGCGAACTGAGCGATCAAGTCCGTCTCACAGGCGATAGATCAACGTTCATATGCCATTCCCAGCCATGCTGCTCCAACGATCGTTCCTCTGGCTAGATGGTCAAGTCAGTAAACCGCCAGGCTGCCTGGTGTTTGACGCTTCAGCTTGTTTGTCTACACATCTCGAGCGCATAGGAGCTGGACACTGAGATTACCAAGGCTACTCTCCAGTCTAGGAGCGGTTGTTTTTTGCCACCTTTTGCCTCGCTTCGACTTTTTCCCATCTGTCGGACCTTTTACATATAGCTTTATTTGGCATGGCTGCAGATCTTCATATACCTACTAACGCGCCGGCCTTTCAACGATCGTTCCTCCGGCTAGATGGTGAAGTCAGTAAATCGCTGGTTAGCTAGTGTTTGATCATATGGCTCACTGGGTTCGCAAGTCTCAAGCCTGTTGCGGGTTTGAATTTGTGGAGCGCGGCCATTAGTCTCTTGTTGGGGGACGATTGTTTTTGCTTACTTTTGCGTAACTTCAGGCCGTTTTGTCTTCTCAGCTGTTCAGGCTACTTACTGACTGGTAGTAGGTGACCTTCACATACGAACTGTGTGCCGGTTGATCAACGATCGTTCCCTGGCTAGATGGCCAAGTCAGTAAATCACCAGTCTCACTTCGAAGAGTACCGGTGTCTGACGCTCTGGCAGACTTGGTTTCACAAACTACAAGTCCATTGCGAGCTCGTATTGTGCACCCATACTTGGCCTTTCTCCTCCCTGGGGAACGGTTGTTTTTTACTTCTTTTGCTTCACTTCAACATTTTTCGTTTGACCTCAACTCATGGGCTCTTTGTGGCATGTGAACGGCGTTGGGAGATCTTTATGTATGAGCTGTAATGCTTCTTCTTTAACGATCGTTCACCTGGCAGAATAGTCAAGTCAGTAAATTGCCGGCTTATTGAAGAAGCTTGCGTTTGACGCTGCAGTATAACTTTCTTGGCTGCCTCGAGTCTTAAATAGACCACGGTTCCAGAACAGTCCAATGATGTGTGCTATCCTGACTGGGAAACGGTTTGTTTTTTGCTGCATGTCAACCACTTTCGCGTTCTTCTTTTGCGGTCTCGAGATGGCCGCTCAGTGTTTACAATCGATCTTGGACCATGTTTTCTTAACAATCAGTTTCTGGCTAGGTGGTCAAGTCGGTAAATCGCTGGTTTCAAGGCTAGCGTTTGATGCTCCGACCTAATGGTGTCGTACCTTCGACAACTGCAGTGGCTTCGTTGTACATGGTCTTGACTCCCGTGGTCTGTCTAGCTGGAGGCTGGTCGTTTTTTTGTTCTTGCTATGCTTCACTTCTTTTGCTGCCTGACTGTTTGGACATTGAATGCTTATATACAATATCCATTCCTACCTCTTTCAACGATCGTTCCCTGGCTAGATGGTCAAGTCAGTAATTCGCCAGCTTGTGAAAAAGGCAGGTATTTGATGTCTCCGAGCAATGGATGTATGACTCAAGACCAGATTAGAGGCTCTCGGTGCCAGACAACCTCTCGGCAATCATTTCGCAGGGGCTCGATCGCTTTTTGCTTTCTAACACCATTCCTGCTTGATTGTTCCGTTCTTCTTTTCATTCTTAGGGACATAAATATAACCTTTATATGTTGTGTTCAACCCTGATCTCCTAACGATCGTTTCTCTGGCTAAGTGGTCAAGTCAGTAAATCGCCAGCTTGCCAAATAAGTCAGTGTTTGACGCATTGATGGATGACGGTTGCCGATAAACAGCTTAGCATAGGCTGTTATCATGCCAATTTGCGTCTTTCACGCAAGCCGAGAACGATTGTTTTGTCCCAGAGCTGACAATTCTCTTATGATTTTGTGTTAGGTCGTAGTCGTTCTGACAAAGCGAGGTGGGGACTTGCGAGTTTCTGTTCCAAGCCGTAATTTCTCGATGAAGGGCAACGTAGTGGATGATGTTTTGCTACCTCTGGCACTCAATGACTCGTCGAGATTGCCTCCCCTTCGAAGTTTGGCTATATTGTCTTTTCGATAACAGCTGGCATCGCGAGACATGGCACAGTTCGTCTCTTCTTGATACTGACGCCTTCGTTGGTAGAGCTTGGTAAGTCTCTTCCGCGAAGAGACATGTCCTCGGAGAAGCGTTCGTGCGCGAGTAAGGCGTACCGTTGTGTGCGGTCAGCCACGGAGACCAATGCCTGACGAGCGATACCGATCCCGATGCTTTGCCCCCGGGCAATGGCAGGCGGGCATGCGGGCCGCAATATTGTGCGAAACAGTGGGACTCAATATCCTGGTTTGCGGCTCACGTGCAGGTCTTGGAATGTTTTCGATTGTTCCATAGACCTATATGCGATCAGTCATGTTGTGCATGCGCTACGCCATTCGTTTTCGGAGCCGCAGCCTCCCCTCCATCTTCCACAGTGAATACTCCATGCGTCCAACTTTCCACATTGCCCAACCTCCCTGTCCGTCTCGGTGATCTGCCAGTCTTTACCAAGTCCTCCCACTGCCGATCCAAGTCCACCAAACCCTCCTTCGGCGGACTGAATTGCCTCAACTTCACGCCAGCCTCCTGAAAGATCTTGGCCGCTTCGGCGTCCATGTAGTAGCTCTGACTGTAGACGACCTCCGTGATGCCCACCTGCACGATCTTGATTGTACATGTCAAGCAAGGGCATGTATTGCAATATAACACTCCTCCATCGCCCACACGTTCCCGCCCAGCCTCGAGCAAAGCGTTCTCCTCTGCATGAATGCAGAGACAAGTACTCAGATCTGCACCTCCAGACAGTCCGGTAGCTCCAGTACCGTTACACCTGGGACACCCACCTTCTGCACAGTTCTTGATGTTCCTCGGCGTGCCATTGTAGCCTGTGGCAAGGATTCGTTTGTTTCGGACTAAGACACAGCCAACTTGTCGCCGCATGCAATTTGATCTTCGGGCGGCGAGAGATGCAAGTGTCATGAAGTAGTGGTCCCATGCTGGACGGATTCTGCTCGGGTCTGTGAGGTTGAGGGCATCGAGTGATGCCCAGAGTTTTGGTAATGACGGAGTTGAGTTTAGGAGTTTTATCTGGGCTCTGCTTGCTACTGTTGCGAGGTTTGTCGATGTGTCGTAGAGATGTGCATCGTTGCGGATGACGAATTGTTCGAGCGTCGGAGGAGTCAAGCTCGCTTGGATGCATTTGTTGGTGAAACGTGCCCAGCGCGTTGAAATTGGTGCGTCTACGTGGACAAGAATGAAGAACGGGCGCCTTGTCAAGACATCAAGGACTGACTCATCGTGTATTGAAGTCGTGACGAAATTCTCTTGCCAGTATTTTGTGGCATAGTCGAGAAGGTCCTCGATTTTGGTAAAAGTTGTGCCGGGATGGAGGTGGTTCGATGGGACGTGTGCTTCTGAAGCAGACTTTTCTACACTTGGTGTCGTAGTACTTCGGGACAGTGTGAGGACTTGGAAGTTGTGACGTTGCACAAGATAGTCGAGAACGGAATTCTTGCCTGAGCATATACCTGAAGCATAAGTGTGAGCTGGCGGTAAACGTTGTGTGCTGTGTAGGTGAAGTATACCTCCGCAAATTCCGATGAGCATTGTCAGCTATGTAGTGCTATCACAGCAATGGTCTCTCGCGACATATGACTTGGGATGTTTTGTGATTTCTTTGTTCATCTTGACATCTCCAGGAGCAGAAGATGGCACGTCGATTTTGAGTTTACTAGCGCGTCTTTGTGAGACGCGACGCGGAGAGCGGGAAGCTGCAGGGCAGACGGATCGGCTTCGTGACGTCCGGCGATGAACCAGCTCACGAGCTCGACAAGCAGCTGTACAGCTTCACAATTGCGAGATCAGGTGGGAGGCTGTCTTTGTTCACTGTCTCTTGTCGCCGGATCTCATTCCATCAGGGTTCAACACTCGGATGCACGAGTCAACTCATCACTCGAGCCTTCCTTAGCCTGGGCCTGCCCCGCTTCTGCAGGAACGACGGCACAGGGAAGCAGCTCACGCGGCAGGAGCACTCGACAGCTCCGGCTTCATTAGCAGGCACTGTCTCGTGACCGGCATCTCGACACTCTCCATCGCGTGATACGTCTCTGATGACTTTCCTCCTTGATTACTGACCCAGCGACGACCTTCCTCCGTGAACCGAATACCATCAACATCCTCCGAACGACCCCTCACGACCACCGCCAGCATGCTACAACCGCTGCAGTATGCGCCATGGACGACCGACGTCGAACTCGCTTTCTACTCAGCCCTCGCCTCCCTGAAGATCAACCATGACAAACTTGACTCCTCCGCGCGTAAGGTGCTCGGCCTGTACGAGATCAAGCACTCGGATGCGCCTGAGCGAAGTACGAGGATGCAGATACACGGCTCGGCGCTTACAAATGATGAGTAGGTGGTGGGAGTAGACACAAGGAGAGCAGGGTTACATGCTGATGGGCCTCAGAACACCCAACGGACTTTACCGCGCCGAGGGCCTGATAAAGAACTTCAATACTGTGGAGGAGTTCCGAGAGGTCGACAAGGCTGCACACATCGAGCGAGCTGGGCGGATGATCTGGGACGCCATTCGAGACGGAACTATTTACGAGTGCCCATCGCTGTTGTGCTCCTTCACAGCTCTCTGCTTCGCCGATCTCAAGAAGTACAAGTTCACCTACCATTTCGCATATCCTGCCCTTCACTCAGACCCACAATGGCGCATGGTCGCGCCAAACAACAATCCAGACGCTGCCATGACGAAGCTCGAATCGAAAGAAACCACATTACTTGTGGATGCAGTGCAGACGTGGAGGTATAGCGTGGATGCCAGACAACACGGCTTCTTCCTGGCAAAGCGATTACGAAAGGCAGTGCTCGAGGAAGAGTGGAAGAGAGGGTGGGGTGAGGTGGAGGAAGAGGAAGAGGACGGGAATCTATGCTCGAAGAGAAAGAAGAGTACACGATCTTCCAGTCTGAGTGAGCTAGGCTTCTTGTGGTGGGTTGGCCCGCTCAGCAGCTATGAGACGGGATTCTTCAAGAACGCTCGACCAGAGGATTGTTATGTTTGCTTCGCGGACCCTTCAACCTTCCCAGCAAACCCAGGGTGGATGCTGCGAAATCTGTTAGTCTTGGTGCGCCAGAGATGGCATCTCGACAAAGTCCAGATCTTGAGCTACAGAGACACGCATGCGAGACGAGACAAGCCAACATCATTAATCATGACTTTGCAAACCTCAGAGCCAGTTTACGACTTTGCTGCTGAGGACCAGCTCAAGAAGTTGACGGAGATGAGTGGCTCGTCCGCACTACTGCCCGGTCAAGTCGATCAATTTGGCGAACTAATCGTGGAGGAGCCAGTCGAACGGAAAGCGGACTCGAAGGAGCTGCCAATACGGCCTCCACCGGAGAAAGCCCTCAAATTCCCCAAGGTCACAGGATGGGAACGTGCTGAGCAGAACAAGGTCGCTTCACGAACAGTGGACTTGGCGGCATATCTTGACCCTTCACGACTTGCGGATCAAGCCGTGGATCTCAACCTCAAACTCATCAAGTGGCGGATAGCGCCGTCTATCGATCTGGACACGATCAAGAGCACCAGATGTCTGCTGCTCGGGGCAGGAACCTTGGGAGCGTATGTGGCACGAAACCTGATGGGCTGGGGCGTGCGAAAGATTACCTTCATCGACAACGGTCGCGTCAGCTACTCGAACCCTGTGCGACAGCCGCTCTACGACTTTAAAGATTGCCAAGGTGGCGGAGTTTACAAAGCTCAGAGGGCCGCCGACATGTTGCACGAGATTTATCCTGGCATCGACGCGGAAGGCGTGGTGCTGAGTGTTCCCATGGCAGGGCATCCGATTATCGGCGATGAGACCAAGATTGAGAGACAGTACGAGCAGCTTAAGAAGCTAATCGATGCTCACGATGCCATCTTTTTGTTGATGGACTCGCGCGAGTCCAGATGGTTACCGACCGTCATGGGCAAGACAGCAGGCAAGATTGTCATCAACGCAGCACTCGGATTCGACTCGTATATGGTCATGCGACATGGTATGCGGGAGCGACCCTCAACAGAAGGTGGAGACGAGAGCACAGTCACAATACAGGCTGCCGACGATCCGGATCCACTCAAGACTGCTGCAGGCATACCGTCAAATGGCACGAGTGCTGTTGCCACCCAGACAGATGAGCTCAGCTGCTACTTCTGCTCTGACGTGGTGGCACCGGCGGATAGCCAGAAGTCTGCGACCCTCGACCAGCAATGTACAGTGACGAGACCTGGAGCAGCTCCGATCGCATCAGCACTTGCAGTCGAACTTCTTGTCTCGCTGACACAACATAGACTGAAAGGCTTTGCACCGGCATCACAGCCTCCCACATCAACAGCTATCGCATCAGCACCTCCCACGGACCCCAAATCACCGGACTCACATCCTCTCGGCACAGTTCCACACCAGCTTCGCGGGTACATGTCGACTTGGCAAACGCTGCAGATCAAGGGCAAGGCCTACGATTGCTGTTCTGCCTGTTCGCCCAAAATTCTAGGAGCTTACGAGCGAGACGGATGGGCTTTTGTCAAGCGGGCAATGAATGAACGGGGCTTCGTGGAAGAAGTCAGTGGACTGGCGGAGGTGCAGAGGCAGGCAGAGGAGGCTGCCAAGGCAATGGAAGACGAAGAAGATGAGTGGCCTGATGAGGATGAAGAGGGCGAACTGATATAGGGAGAAATCTGAAGCAAGTGCTGCTTGACTCAGGTTAGTTCTGCAATGCGTGACGGCGCCTGCTTGCTAAAGCGGCTTCGCTGGCTACTACTTACACTATGATACAATGCATGCCTAAACTTGATGGGGTTCGAGATCTTTCTTCCCATGCATGGCTTCCATCTTCTCATTCTTCAATCTTGTATGGCAGTTCAGAGCCTTATCATAGCTCGTACATTGTATATTGCTTCTGATACCATACTGCAAATCCTGTGTCGAGTGAGTTCTACATCACATCAAGAGGTGCAGAGATACGCCTGACGGCCTAACGAAAATGGGCTTGGAGTCTTTCGGTGGGAACTGAGCCAGGTGTGAGAGGCAGGATGAGTCAATGCGCGATCCGTGAAACGTGTTGAAAACATGGTATTGTGCGTAGCTATTGAGGTGAGACTGACAACGGCTCGACGCACATATACCACGCCTTGTCCGATCTCCAGTCACCTGGCATGTGTAGTGGACAGCTATCGTTTCCATGTGACCTCTATTGAGGGTCATCCATGGCACCGCTGCTCCCAAAGTGCGTCCGCTGTGGGCACAGGCGTATAGGAGAGCTGAAGCTCTTGATCCTTCGCGACCCCTTAAAAGTGCTCTGCACGTTTGATCCCAAGTGGTCTACGAAATCAGCACTTGCTCGTGCGATACGTCCCCGATCTAGCATCGGGAGAGCTACTTTGCATAGGTTGCGTTCTTTTGTGGGAGTCCCCGGTCTTCTACGATATTGTCAGCGTTTATGGTCTCATGAACTCATAGCATGCGATTGAGATTACCTGTACCGCCGTGTTGACCCTCCAAGGTACCCGTGGTGATTCGCACTTCTCATATCACTCCAGTCGATCCAGAAGCTCACGCGTGAAAAGCTCCTGACCGTCTATGCCTGCAACTTCGTAGAAGTCTGCCAGTGTCTCGGGTTCTCCAAAGTCGTCCCGAACGTCGACCTTCATCTGGAAGACTTCAGCTGCTAGACCCGCATCTAACAGTCCAAACAAGTGCAGTACTGTCTGGTGCACGGTCAAGCCGGCACCAAGAAGGCCGTCGTCGCTTGCTCTAAGCAGTGTTGTCAACCAGGTTGAACTGCGGCCGCGGCTCAACGTTAGCTCGATCGTCTTGATCAGCGCCACATTGGCTCCGACTTCCTTGAGCCACGCGCTCAGGTTTTCCGGCCTGCCGAAGCGCGAAAGACACGTTCGAGAGTTTGCATTTTCTCCTGGTAACCAGCTGATGGTGTGTTTGAATGTATTCATGCCGTACCAGATCGTGAGACTTTCTTCACGAATCTGCCGATTTACGGATACCAGCGATACGTAAGGGTGTCGGCCAGTCATGTGAGTCCGATCCCAGCGAATATGGACTCCATCTTTGGAACATAGGGCCATCTCGTAGATCATGTTGCGCAGCTCTGCAGATAAGGACATGAAGCTCGAGCGTGATTGCTTGACTCGCACCTCCGATTCCCTGTCATTCGAAGTCAGTACAGCCGTTCAAGTATGTCTTGTCGAGGTCGTACTGTTGCAGTATACCGAGCTTCAGGCGACCAACAGAATCGTCAAGAAGCTTCTCGAGAGTAGCCGTTCCCATATAGGGGAACTGAGTACGCACTTGGAGCGCGTTCGCTTCGCGGATGCTCGATGTAAGCTCGTCAACCTCATCGTGGAAGGGCATCTTGTCGTGCGGTAGGTAGAGGAGGGGGTGGTGAGTCTGCAGCTGCGATCGAAGGGCTTGTTACTGTCTGCGCGAGAGAGCGCAACCTCGAGTAGGAAAGGCTAAATACGTTGTATGAGTCGGAAGGGAAAACATGCGAGTCGATGTTTGCTTTCAAATCAGGCAGGCGCTTCGGAATAGTAAGCGTTTGCTCGATGTCCGCTTTGACCCACTTATCCACTTCACTTGATGCAGCGCAGCCCAGTCTTGCGTCGTGCGAGCAGATGCCAGCCTGATTCTGCTCTCGATACATTCAATGATTGGGCTTGCCGCGAGCCTTGCGGTCCCATCACACCCTCCAACGAATTCGTGACGAACTTTCCCCTTACTTGTATCTCAACCGCTTGATCAGCTCTTCAGTCAGAAGATCCTCCCCGCTCACGCCTGCAGCTTCGTACAGATCCTCTCCTGCTTCCAGGCCGTCGCGGATCAAGAATGTAAAGATCTTGGGCGAGACACCTCTATCAAGCAAACCACAAGACTTAAGCACCCCTTGATGCACAGTCAAACCATTGAAGTCAAGACCTCGACCGCCAAAGCTCAGGATTTTCGACAAAGCTGACCCTATTGTATCCGACCCCCAAGTGCGCATCGTGATTGACTTGACCATAGCTGCACCAGATCTGAGATTCTCCAGCCACTTGCGGACAGATCTTGGAGAGTCAAAGTCCGTCTCGGGATCTTGTGCACGCCGCCAAAACACTGGGTCACCAATTCGGCACTTGAAAATGTTAATACCGTACCAGATAGGGCGTGCTTCCTCATAGACTTGTCGATTCGCTAGGAGCAGTGTCGTGTGCTGGCAAACGACGTCCTGGTGGGACACGTTGACTGTCCCCTCGACTTTGAGCGCCATCTCGTAGATTATGTTGCGTAGTTCTGCCGACAACGACATGAAGCTTGTGCGAGACCGGGCGGCGCAGGTTTCCTTCTTCCTAAATCAATGTCAGAATGAGGGAAAAGCGCTCGCACGGGTAGTCTGCTCACTGTTCGACAAGTCTCGAAACGATAACATTCGCAGTTTCGGCTAATAACTCCTCGAGAGCTTCAATCTTCAGGTACGGGAATTGACTCCGCAGCTGTGTGCGTGCGAGTTCTTCAATGGTATTTGTGGCCTGCTGAACCTCATCTTCGAACGCCATGCCGCCGTGAGGCGAGTCACAAGAGGTGTGGTGTGTTGAGGCTTCGTTAGTGCCCTCACTCGTCCGCGCGACTGGAGACCTGTCGACAGAAAGGCAACGGAGATATTCTGTGCTGTCGCCACCCTGCGGCACAGGCAGTTGTAGTAGTTATGGACCGCTGCTGCTAAAGTCGATGTTGTTGTTGCTGCGCAGGTCGAGTTGGGGGCTCTGCAGAGGTCTTGCTGATGGCGGCGATGGTTACGCACGGGCTTCTACATTCAAGGAAGGTACCAGCCTGTGCGACTGCACGTTTGCTGCGGGGCGACGTGGAGCCGTTCACTCACTTTCACTTCCTTATGAATTCAACTTTACCGCAGTGCATTGTCCTGTCATCTTCTATGAGCATCATTTCGTCGCCGTCACTCCTGTAGCTTTGCACGAAGTCATCGGCGACTGTCCATCGGGCAGAGCAGGGGCTGTCTTAGGATGATTGATTGCTAAGAAACATGCTCTCCTAATTACATGCCACGCTTGGTTCTAAAGTCAGGCCGCGGGCTTCATATCTGGGCTCCATATCAGGGCGGGAGTTTGCTGAGGGTGTGTTGTCGTCGAGGGGCTATGGAGATGTGGCTGGAGGCCCCAGCGGTCTGAAGCTGGAATTTCGGGCAGTACAGAAAAGAAACTCACACGTTGTTTGGGGTTTTACCTTGGTCCTTGCCACGTCTGCGGACAACGGTGTTCTCCGCCACTTAAACTCTTGAGTACCTGTCTGGAGTGCTCCTTGAATTCCGCGCTGGTGTCGGGGTTGTTGAGGTTGGCCTTGTGACCATCTGCGACATCATCCAGGATAAGACTGTCTCTGCTTTCGACGAGTATTCTACTGCTTCATTATTCTTCTCCAGCATTGGGCCTCAAAGCTTAATGATCATGTTGCCGACAACGGTGCAAGCCACCTTACGTGGCCATCGTCATCAACATCACCGGCTTCAAAGTCTGGTTCTTCGTCAAGGACGACAAGGAGGTTGGTCTCGTTTCCGTTGCCAACGTTATGAAGCACAGCTCCACGTCAAACAGGCTCGCGTGGAGCTGCGTCATGAACCGTTGTACGCTTCCTGATCGAGTCGCGAAATTTGCTGATATTTGGTTCGGCCGCCGTTAGCACAACTCCCCGCCGCGTGTCTTCCATGCCATGAAGTTAAATTCTGTCGTCATGATGAAGCTCGTATATTTCGGGCCCTTTCGCTGCACTTCACGCAGTGTTCGGACGAGTGAAGAGACCAAGACGAATGCTCAAGGTGATCGCGCCAGATTGGCGAGTGCATCGGCGCAGCGAGTGTGCGATGGTGGCCGTATCTGCGTACATCCTCCTACAGTCCAATGAAAATGCATACTGGGTGCCTGTGCATCGCGACAAGGCATTCAGCCTGCGCCGCTGCGCGCAGCCATATCACATTAAAGAAACATTATTGCTTTCTGAGCGCTGATGGTCAGACCCAAAGTGTCGTCTCGTACTTGAACCAATCGCGTGGCCCATGTCCCGAATGTTTCATGTATATGATGCCCAAATCGGCTTGGTCCAGATGTGTACCGATATAGTAATTCTCGGTTCTTCAGGTTTCACAATGAAGGACTTTGGTCCGTGGTTGGTATCGCCTGTGGAGTCAGCTTCTGAATGACACGCCCGACGCCTCAACACATCTCATCCAGGTGAGCGAGCCGCACAACTCAACAGTCTCGCCTTTTAACAATATTTTGCGTCGCTTCACCTGAGTGCTCGCAGTTCTCTCGGTCTTCGCATACGGCAGCCTCCGCTTGGGATGCCTGAGGCAGGACTGACATCCGATACAAGGACAAGGACAATGTCCCGTATCATGTAGCATTTGAGGCAATGAACATGCGGATGTTGCGGCAACGAAGCCTTTGCGACGATACGGCAGGTGCTAAGGGATGGACGGCAGTCGTGTCCGAGAGTTGTGTAGCGCCAGGCAGTTACGAGGGACGGCGATCCGACGCTTTGCAGTATCACATTGGTGAGCCTGCCAGAAGCGCATATGCACCCTCCAACATTCTGGACTCGCGCCTCCAAACACAAGGCTTTCTTTTAGGGTGGTTGCGCATACCGTAGACAAGAACAGATGTCGTTGATTTTACGTTGGCAGGCACATTCCTGCCAAGGAAGGCGCATACGCCTGGCGTGCGCCCCAAAAGCTTCAGAATCGAAAGTTCAATTTATTCCGTATTCGCTTCTTATTTTCAGTGCTTGTCCACGATTCTGCGAACCTGTCGTCGTCAGCACCATGTGGGCAGACACGCGTGTACGGCTTTTCTTTCCTCGAGATCGAGCGTCGACATGTACGACAATAATTTCCCAGACCGCCATGCCCTCAATGAGCAAGGAACCAGAGACGTGTCGCGATTGCGCTTTACATGACCATCATCGCATACCTCCTAGGAACGGACCTCTTCCAGAAGGCGAAACGGCCAGATACCTCTGCTGTGCATCGCATGTGCTACAGATCCATTGAAAACATCGGCAGAGGTGGCCGAACAGAACAGCCCTAGTCGAATGAACTCTATTCTCGGACAGTGAGCGAACGACGCCAAGATCATCATTGAGCTGCAGAACGATATGAAGACCGCCACCGCCATGGTGTGATAGGTGGCGCGACGTGTCTGCTGTGCTATCAATGCGGTCGCTGGTCAGGGCTCAGCTGCATCTGTCCGGCAGACGGCACGATTTGTCAGCAGCAAACATTTGGTGGTCCCGGCGCGCTCGTAGAAGTGGAGGAGCAGCACGATGCCGTTGGGACGTTTCGCCCATGGCCAGCAAGAATTGACGACTCGGCGTGATCATTCATGACACTATTGAAGAAGCTGACGAATGCGAGGTTGCCATCGTCATTTTTGGGGCCACACCTCCACTCCATCGAAGTGTATTTCTCCTGAAAAGCTCGTGAAAGGCTCGGAACGTACCGAAAGTTGAAGTGGAGGAGATACTGCATAGGGACGACGCGTGGGTGTGATCCTCCGGCAACATAGCCCGAGCATGGCAAGTGACGGCTTGTCGACGAACACACGAGGAGAGCAGCAATAGAAGGAGTAGCGTCGCGAGGATAGGGAGTGATTGAAGAACGATACGAACAGATGCCGTGTGGGCCGGCGACCGCGTGTGAAGGACGAAACCGGGCACGTTTGCTGGGCCAGGATGTCACGAAGCCAGTCTCCACCGGCGCGGGCTGCCCTCTCTCGTACAGTACGGTCGTACAGTAGAGGATAGATACACTGCGCAGTCTCGCGAGCGCCATGTGCAGCGACACGACGAGCGCTGGTGGCTTCATTTCTGCGACAGCCACCACTCGCCGTGTCGCTGCACGCCTGCGGCTGAAACTGCTGGAGCGCGAGTGCGAACAGCGACACGACACGGCGAGAGGGCTGCTTTTAGAGGAGCGGGCGGCGTCGCACCAGGCGAACCTTGGGCGCTTCCCGTCGCGTTTGGCGTACGCGTACCTGACGATCAGCGCCGCAGCCGACCAGTGAGGAGCGCAGTGGTGGAACTCGTCGCGACTTGAGCCTCCGTCACGTGCGGCTAGCGAGTTGCTTCATTTCCAGGTGCGTCGGTGTCAGGGACGCGGTGGGCCAGGGCGCAGCAGCACTGAAACGACGTGGTTTCGCACGGAAGTTCGGCACTTGCGCGCAACGGCCACTCGCGGTGCGGTTTGATTGATGACGGCGGCGGGCAGGCCCCAGCACGCGCCCGGGACAAGCACATCTCAATCTCCCGTCTCCTGCTCACTCGTGCCCGTCCGCTCGACCTCGCACTCCACGCCCACACCGCGCACCTCGCATACACCTGCTGGCCCCGGCCGCCGACTCTCGCTTCTTCTGACATCCCTCTTCCCCTTCGTCGTCCCATGCCGACTGCGCATGTTTGAGCACTTTCCACACTCTTTCCTTACCTCTTCTTGCTGAAAGCGTGTTCGCTTGAACATGCACTTTTCCTCGCTCCTTACCGCGGCGGCGTTGGTCAACGTCGCCGTGTCCAAGCCAGCTTCAGGCAATGAACTCAACAACAACAATTATGACCTCGCCGCCCCGCTCGACAAGCGCCAGGCGGGCCAGGTCATCACCACGGGCGCCCGCGGGCTCGGAGACGGCCGTGTGCACGTACGACTAGAGATCAACGAACTCGCCAACAACAGACCCGACATGTGGTCGCTTTACATTCGCACCATGGCCCAGTGGAAAGAGGCCCCGAAGGACGACTGGACCGGCTACTGGGGCATCTCCAAGATTCACGGTGTCCCTCGCATTGACTGGGATGGTGTGCAGAAATGTGACGACTGCGATGGCGCAGATGGCTACTGCACACATGACTCTGTCCACTTCCCCGCATGGCACCGAGCGTACATGGCCCTTTTCGAGCAAGAGCTGATCAAGCACGCCCTCGAGATTGCCAACTCTTTCGATGGCGCTTTCGGAGACCGCATGAAGGCCGCCGCACAGGCACTGCGTGCTCCATTCTGGGATTGGGCAGCCAACCCAGACCAAGGCTCGACCGCTCTGCCGCCTTTCATCAGTGGCCAACAGGTGACTATCGAGGGCCCCAATGGCCAAGAGACCGTCGACAACCCTCTCTACAGCTATCACTTCACCGATTCCTCCGACATGGAGTTTTCTGTTTTCGTCGACTGGCCAGACACTTTCCGCTGGCCCAACTCAAACAACCAGGACGCGCACAGCCAAGAGCAACAGGCCGTTGACGCTTTCTCCAACCTCAACGGCAACCTGCAGGATCAGGTCTACCAGCTCTTGACACAGTGCAAGAGCTACCTTGGTTTCGCCACCGACGCTTCTGGAGACCAGCGCTGCGCCAACAGTCTGGAGGGTATCCACAACACCATCCACACCAACGTAGGAGGTCCTGGCTCGAACGGTGTGTCTGGTGGCCACATGACCTTCTTGCCACTTGCTGCTTTCGACCCAATTTTCTTTCTGCACCACTGCAACGTCGACCGTTTGTTCACTCTGTGGCAGACCGCCAACCCGAGCACCTACGGAGCCAGCCAGGTCGCTCCTCACTCCACTTGGACCATTGCTCAGGGCTCGAACCAAGACGCCAACTCTCCTTTGATGCCGTTCCGCAAGGCCGCCGATCAGTACTGGACCACCAACGACGTTCGCGACTTCGCCGCTACATTCGCCTACACCTACCCTGAATTCATCGTTGGTGACGGACAGCGTAACACGATCGTCAACTACATCAACCAGCTTTACGGCTCCAGCCCATCTCTGACCGCCTCCGCTCTCTCTGCTCGTGCCGAGCCTGTGAACGGCAGCAACACCGAAGGCGGTAACGGAGGACGTGGTCTTGAGGCACCACAAGGTTACGGTGGTTCGTCTTCCAGCTCCTCCAGCCCTGCAAGCTCTCAGACTGGTGGCTCTGGCTCTGGCTCTGGCATTGGCATTGGAATTGGTCCTATCAGCATCTCCATCGGTCTGCCATGGAACAAGCCCACTGGAGGCGCTAGTAGCGGTCCTTACCCAACTGTCACTGGCGCATGGAATGGTACCAAGACCGCCGGCTACCCAGCCCCAACCGGCACCGGTGCTCCATTGAACCCCGCCTTCATTGCACCAAACGGCAGCGTCTACCAATACCAATGCAACATCGAGACCCCTCGCTACGCTCTCAATGGCTCGTACACTGTCTATGTCTTCGATGGACAGCCAGGCACCAACGACACAAGCGAGTGGCTCGGCGAGAAGAACTGCATCGGTCAAATCGGTGTTCTTGCAGGTGGCGATATGGCCCACGAGGTTGTCTCCGCTGGCTCCGTTCCGATCACCCGCTACTTGCAAAAGCTGTACATGTCCGGCAAGATCTCTGCCTTGAGCGAGGATGTTGTCCTCCCGTACATGAAGAAGAACCTCAACTGGATCATCGTCTACGATGGCGAGCGTGTCAACCCTGAGTCTCTCAACGGCTACAAGGCCTCTTTCCTGTCTGGTCTCCTTTCTCCTATCCTTGATGGTGAGCTGCCAAGCTGGTCGAACCTCTTGCCTCAAGTCGATGTTACCAAGGACAAGGTTGGTGGTATTACCGAGGCCGTGGAGGGACTGCTCGGCGGTGTTGGCGATGCTCTCAGTGATGCTGTCGGCGACATCGGTGACAACATTGGTGGTATCATCGGAGGTATCATCGGAGGCGGCAGTGGTAACGGCAACAGCAACGCTCCACACGGCTATGGATCCGCCTCTTCTGCGCCGTCGTACCCAGGCAAGACTGAGGATTCGCCAGTGCCAGCGACGACTGCACCACCATCTCAGAACCCTCCTAGCTACCCATCGCCGCCTGAGGAGGAGGAAGTCACGACCACGGTTTACACGACGCAGTACGTGACGTACTGCCCTTGCACGGAGTCAACAGCAGCACCACAGCAACCCACCGCGACAGCATACGCGAAGCAATACTAGATGTCTAAGTTTTAAGACCTAATGCCCAGCCGCATGAAGAAGTTTCGTATTTGTTGATAAACCGTACTCTCTGCATTGCGTTTCGAGAACTGGAAAGACGCTGGTAATTATTTGATGACAGAAGGGTTGGATCGAGTTGTTGCGAGTTGTTGTGCGCATGTCAACTACCAAAGAGTAGTTTTCTGTGGCACACGCTCATTTCAACTCCCTGGACTGCACAGTGCCTGGAAAGGTGGAAAAAATCTACAGACATGGCGAAGAAGAAGAAGATTTTCCCCTGTGTTCAAGAGAGAATTAGTGGGAATTGGCTCCTTTTTGTGTCCGCGTGGAAAAGAGAAGAGATGCTGAACGATGGCACTGTGTGAAGTGCGTTTCGTGTGTCAAGAGTGTGTGTAGAGTGAGAGAGAGATCATCTTGTGCATATTTTATCTCATCAGTTACCAGTCTTACGTTACCTTTCTTGTCAGTCTTTTCTGCTGTTGATGATGTATCTACAACTAATTGTTCCCTCACAGACGTCGCTTGATGCGAGTCTGGGCTCACTGTCATCGTCATCTTTCCCAAGCATAATATCTTGGAGCCAATGTTTCCTGCAATTTTATTCTCAACTTGGCGAGAGCCGAGAATCTGACATCTTACCCCAGCTCTTTGCCCTTCGCTCTTGCCCTGTCCTGCCAATTATTGAATTTGTCCAGAACTGAGCCGATTTCGCGGGGTCAGGGATACCTGGTATATAATGTGGCTGATTTCTTCGACATGGAAGTTGACCCTGCATGTTTCGCGAATGCTGTGAGATGCTATCTTTGGGTTCGAGCTCGCATGGCAAGGAGAAAGTTTATATGCGGATGGAAAGTTTATTGTGTCAGCGAGCGCTCTTCTCCTTGGCGGAGGTGGAGGTGGAGTCGGAGTCGGAGGCGAAGGGAAGAGCGGAAGTGCGGCACACGGCATGATTTGAGTGTTGAAAGGTGTTTCTGCTGGCCGTGTGAGGAAAGTGCGAATGACTCGGTGTGCCGATGAGATTCGGATTGGGGATGATCTGTTTGATGGCGGGGACGGGTCGCGTGTTTTTGCATATCTCTTGTCGCGGGTTGTCTGACTTAACAGACTGCACGCATGCATAGTGTGCAGACTGCATGCAGTCTCGAGGATGATGAAGCACGCTTCTTGAGGCGTGTGATTCAGTTGCCGGTGAGTTTTCTTCTTGTACTGATCTCTACCTCCCGCCCTCGTGACTTGAGGAACCTCGGGCTAGGATTTCTGCTCGGTTTCTATAATCGTTCTCTCTAACAGCTGGCGCTAACGCTCGCAGTTCTACTTCCCACGAACGTCCCTCTGAATCCTTGAGCAGATGTATAGCTTCCTTGAACCTGCACGTTGAAAACTACGTTTGGTGTTCCTCTGCTCTGACGACCGTTACAGCTCACCACGGCCGCGACACCTCCGTTTGTTAACGCTGCTTGAGTGGAACCAATACTCGTGCCGGATCCGAATGGTGTTCCAGCTCGGCGCGCACTTACACCTGCTTCGCAGAAACTGCGAGCGACGTTGTTGACGCTTTGAGCGGGCGTAGTGACATTGACTGGGATGGTGAGGGTTGTGGTGATGCTGGATGTTGCTGATGCACCTGTTGCTCCTGCAGCGCAGTTTCCTGCGGTGAGTGCGTCCTGAGGGTTTCCTCTCACGCTGCGTTGGTCGGAGGCGCCCGCTACGGTTGAGGATACGTCAATTGAGACTGGTGAGTCGGATACTGTGGCTGTGCTGTTGGATCGACCGGATGAAGCTGTCGATGAGCTGGTCTTTCTTCTCTGGATGGCGCCACCAGCTCTAAGATGCATAGGTCAGCATTAAATGCGTTTTTGGGTGTTGTCTACTTCTGTGATATCTTACGTGGCGGCGTTTCCGTCACTGAAACTAATGACCTCGACCAAGTTCGCTGCAGCACTCATAGTATTATTCGTGTAGCTTGGGCCGCCTTGCAAAGTTGTGGAATCGGTGTTCGTTTGAGGTTCGCCACCAGAGGTAGGAAAGCCATTGTCGTCGGTTCCGCTTGTCGTCTGCGCTGCCCGTTGAGAGAAATATCGGTCAACACTTGCTACTCCTTGAGAGAGCTGGCCGTAGTTCAAGTCGTAGTTGAATCCTCTTGACCGGACGTAGGAACGTAAGGTATTTGCATTTTCGAAAGATCGAAATTGTGCTTCTGAGACGGAGAATTGAATGTTCACCTGCTGCGATTGGCGTTCGGCGAGCAGTGCGAGTGGTGTGGCGGAGGCTATGGTTAGAAGCACTTGAGCAAGTATCACCTGGGAAGACAGCATTTTGGCAAGGTAGAATGGTCTTTCGCAAGTATCATGAGATCGCGGAGCAGATAGAAGCAGTCTTACCTTCAGCGGTATCCTCGACGTCTCTACATATATATGCGTGCTTCGCACACTCGAATTCCCATCGTGCGATCTTGAGAACAAGGAGCCCCTCATGCTGCCGCTCTATCGACGGCTGGCTGCAGACCAGATATTATCGGGCCATTTGTCGAGCCCGGTGAACCACTCGCCTTGTTACCGTGTAACAGGAACAAGTTCCTTACTATGCAACATTTGAGGGCTTCAGGTGTCGGTGTATTCGCTCGACTTGAGCCTTCATTCTTTCGTGTCGCCTGTCAATTTCTCCAAGGATTGGTCAATTCGTAGAGAAAAGTGGTATCCAAATGTGTTGCTGTCGCAGGCAGATGGCACAAACTGCATTAATGATCTAGCTCGATCCCAGATGCGGTAGGCAGTCCAGGTGTAGTCGAGGAGCGATCTGAAGTGGCGTCCAGTCCAGCATTCTGGACTTGTCGTTCGCGTTCTTCTTTTGAGCCATGGACAGGCGCCGCTTGAGTCGCATAGCAGGCTCATTGGCTGTATGGAGTCACATGAGACTAGATCTGGACATGCTTTATCTGTATCGTGCAGTAGCTTAGCCCACGGCGTTCATTCTGTAAACTCTCCTCTCAGTCTCGTACATGGTCCCTGAGAGACGATGCACACAGGATGAATTCAAGAGTAGCCGTGGCGAACGGTAATGTGCGGTCTACGCAACGCGTGTAGACTTCAACAGACGAAGCGATGATGGTCTAGAGGGATTGTGGATGGAATTTGGACAGCCTTGGAAGCAGAGGAGGAAGTTCCGGGCGCCAAGACGAGGCGGGTGAACTGGAGCTAGAAGCTACCTCCGAGGTACAGTACATACCATATGCACAGCATCTCGCGGATAGTCGGCATTATTGGGACTTTTCTCTGTTTGGATTGCGAAATCCGATCGCAGCATCAATGGCATTTAGCCCCATCTACATGCATCTCCAAGCGGACAGTTCCTACATTCCATTCCATCCAGGTATCGTTCGATCATCGCATCGGCAAAAACGCCAAACACCACGCCGCCACATTTGTAATTCTTTGAAACGGGCATCCCCTCACTCTAATCTTTTACGCACTCGCAGCGACATCTTGACTTCGCGCTCCTCGTCGGTTTCCCCCAGCAGCAGCTCTGTTAGCACCAGGTCGGTTCAGCGTGTACTTGGCGAATGCTCGCGCAAGAGCCTTCTTGCACGAAACCTTCTGGCTGCCAACGAAGCTGTCAATGGCGACCGCAATGGCACGATCGATATCGTGAGAATTGCAATACTCGCTCAGGCGCATCTTCGCGAAGGACTCGCTGATTCGAAGGATGGATTCGAGGTGGCGGACCTATTGGGACTGTTAGCAGGGGAAAATGGATCATGTCGAAGCATTGGCAAGACCTACAGTGATGGGGTATGCGCCAGTCGCTAGCGACTCTCGTCGCATGTCAGCAAAAAGTCGAGCGATCTTGTCTTGATCGATCTGGTAAAGTTTCGGTCGGCAATGCTCACGCGCGTACAATATGTACTTGCGAAGCAGTTCCTGAGGTATGACAGTCTTGGGCCCGCTTGTGCTCTCCTCCCCATCGACGTCCATGCTTTGTGGCGCATCGGTTTGTGTCTGTGAACCTAGAGAGGACGCTCCCTCTACAGGATGTGCTCTTCCGTGGCTGTTGACCACGAACTGAGCCAGGCGCTCATCCTCCTCGGGATCAACGGTGTCTCGCACGACGCAAAGGATATCGAAACGAGACAAGATGGGTTCTGTCAGCTCGACGTTCTGACTGAAAGGCACAGTGCCGTTGTAGCGTCCGCCGATTGGATTAGCCGCTGCCACAACTGCGCATCGAGCTTGCAGTGTTGTCACAATTCCGGCCTTCGAGATGGAGATGGTCTGTTGTTCCATGGCTTCATGTATACTCGTTCGGTCCTGGTCGTTCATCTTGTCAAATTCGTCGATCAGACATGTGCCCTTATCGGCGAGCACCAGTGCTCCACCTTCAAGCGTCCATTCGGCGGTAAGAGGATCCCTTCGCACACTGGCTGTCAAACCTACAGCCGAAGCACCCTGTCCTGTTGCGAAAACTGCTCGATGGGCGGTGCCCTCGACGTACTTCAGGACTTGTGACTTGGCAGTTCCCGGATCTCCAAGGAGCAGTAGATTGATGTCACCACGAATCGCATGCTTGCCCTGTGCCACCTTTGCCACACCGCCGAAGAGCGAAAGTGCTACAGCAGTCTTGATATCCTCGTGACCATAGATCGAGGGCGCGATCGACTGCACAATCTTGTCAACGATCTTCGGGTCCTTGCTGAGTTGCCGAATTTTGCGTTCGTCTTCTTCAGTCAAGCGGAATCCGGCCAGTTGGTCATGAGTCTTCACGACGTGATTTGCTTCCAGTATCGTCGCAAAGACAGGGAAGCCGTTCTTGTTGTTAAGCTGCGCATCGTAATTGTTGCGGTAGATACCAGTAATCTCGACCTCCTCGCCTGGCTTGGCTGAGTCGATGAGATCCCAAAGCAGGATGACTTCTCTGTGTCGCGGGAGACGACCTGCTGGAACTGTTCCCGGTGATTCCTGCAGGGTGAGCTTCTGGTAGTTACGATACACGGTTTTCTCGCTGTTGAGCGTGAAAGGTCCCCGGGATTGGCAGTTCTGGCAGAAGGATAGTTTCACTTCTGCGTTGCTGTCCTGCGGGAACGGGCCCAGCGTGATACCACACTTGGTGCAGTCGAACTTGACGTACTTCAGCTGTGGAAATACGCCAGTTCGCCGGGTAACCACTCCACTGACTCGCAGCAGGCAATTCAAGTGACTTTGTCGTAGCTGTCGAAGGGTGTAAGAAACTGGAAGATTGGTAATGCGGACATGCAGCTCGGAATGGATACGTTCGTAGTCCGGGTAGTGGTAAAGAGCGACCTCCAGGGCAACAGCATCGAAGATCGGCAGAATTGAGGCTGGCACGTTGACCAAGAAATAAGCCAATGTCGGCTTTGACTGCGAGAGATGATCCCAGTCGACTTCCAAAGACTCTGCGTTCACTTCTCCAAGCGTTCTGATGCGAACACCATAGACAGATGTGCCCGCAGAATCCGTGTACTCGGTCAAGAAGGACTTGAACTCGCGAGCGACTGTTTTGTGGACAGCCGGCAGAGAAACCCAGTCCGTCAAGCTTGCAGCTTTGACATCTGAAAGTGCTTCCAAGGACAATTCCTCTGCCATAATGTCTTCTTGCATGTCCATATCATCTGGATCCTCATCAAATCTGTGTCGTCTTCTTCGCGGCTGTCGCGTCAAATCCATTACGTCTTCCTCTTCATCGGGCAAAAAGGCTCCTGGCAGCTTTTTCTCTCGTGCCAGTTCTCTATCGCGACGGTTGAGTCGAGCTTCGAGTGCTCTCCGCGATGCCGCATCCATTGCTTCGTATTCTTCTTCATCGTCAATGTCTGCTCCACGATAGCCCTCGTCGTCTCGGCGGTCGTAGTCGCGATCAAAGTTGTCGGCGAAGAGGTCAATGCCTGCATCGTCCTCTGCCATCTCGTCTGCATCGTCAATGTCTTGAATCAAGTCCTCCGGATCGAGATTGTCGTCCTCTTCGATATCATCGCCGCCGGGAAAGATCGGTGGAGACGAGGCAGGAGCTGTTTGGAGTCAGTCAGGTCCACTGCGAGTTCCATATCGCATTGCACGCACGACTTGATGGCGGTGCAGCTGCAGACGAAGGCATGTCGTCTTCTGCATCTCTGCCACGTTTGCGTCCGCCCGCGGCGGGACGCCCTCTGTTCGCGGAAGACATGCTGGGTCGTAGTGGTGAGCTGAATACTGTAAGTCGGGGCTGTATGATGTGGATCGTTCAAGTGTACCTCATTGTGTTGTTTGCGCAATTGAATTGGATGCGGGACAGTGCTTGAAGCGCTTGCAGGGGTGGGCGTGAAGTGCTTTACGCGAAGTCAACGCGAAGACGCGTCGTGGCAAGGCCAAAAGTCGTGCAGCCAAGTGCCAGAAATCGACTCCAGTTGCAACGGGATGAGGGACTACCAACGATGACCTATAGATTTGGAGATGCATCCTAAAGCTCATTGAGAGAGAACTGCTAAGCGGTCTTCCGGAATATTCAACATCTCCTGAATGCGGAAATGGCGTGTAAATGCATACAGTGCATCGAGGGAATAAATGATGTGGACGCATATGCACCACCAATTGTCATGATTTGCTCGACTGATCTTATGCTCCGATGTTTGATATGCCGTGTCCGCGCCTACCGCGCCTCACATTCCTCAGATGCCACATTACTCTGGTCTGGACAACGCCTTCCTACGAGCTATCGTTTCCCAGGTCTACTCCCTCATACAGATTCCGCCCCCCACCTGGATCAAGTTTCGACAGGAATTCCGGCGGCACTGAAGGTATGTATCTCCTCTCTCTCTCCTTGTTAACCCCACCAAAGCCTGCTCCATACGATACTAGCATGTCCGTTGACGTCGGTAGATGGAAGGGAAGCAACAGTGCTGGATTCATCAGGTTGCTTTCAGGTACATCATCCTCGTTGTCGTAGACAGGAGTGCCTGGCGCGATGGGAGAAGCAGGGGTACCATTTTGCTTCGAAGTCGGTGTAGCGGGTGTTGGGGGAAGATCTTTGTCGTTGTTTGCGCCGGGAGCAAGGGCAGGGTGGATGGGCTTGGGCCTGCTTTTGACCTCCTGAATATGTCGCAACGCCGGTCGTGTTAGAGTTTTCTCTCCAACCTCTGCGCGATAATGCTTGACAGCGTGCAGTAGCTGCTTTACAGACAGATTCGGTAGCTGCTGTAGCGTCGTCTCCATGCCGTCGCGATCCTCGCCCATCGACGAGAAGCACTGTAGCCATTGCAACAACTGCACGACAGGTCCCAAATGACGTCGTGCGGTCTCTACTGTCGCTTCACCGGTGGCCGTTGTTTCACCATTCGTATAGTGCTCAGGCTGTCTGTTGTTGGTGCGTGCCCAATCTTCGAGCATCGAGATGTTCATGCGGATTTGCATTGCTTTGGTGCGGGCGAGATAGCGCTTGTTCGACATTATTCGGTTGAAAATCTCTGCACCCAGCCAGTAGTAAAGTTGCGACAGTATCTGTGCCGCGATGACAGAGTGCACGTCGTACAAATCGAGGACAAAGAGTGTAGATGACAAGAGCGAAGTGATGTTCCGGGGCGAAACCTGGGCTTTACGCTTGGGCGATGGTGGTCGGAACCTCTTTTCCATCGGTTCAGGCTTAACAGTACTCTTCTTCTTGAGGAATTTCCATTCGTTCTGGAAGGTGATATCTTCGAAACCCGGTATCGTTTCGTGATCGAGCATGGCAGCGTCAAGTACCTTGTCCATTCTCCTTTCAGCATCGCGTATAATGAGAATATAGATCTCGTGGACCAACTCCGCCATCTGTGCTTGGAATTGCGTGGTGGCTTCCGTCAGTCCGGTGTCCTTCTTGAGGTAGTATAGGAGCAGTGTAGCATTCGACAGCCAGAAAGCAAGCATGGTCATATCCCACTGATTGCGATCCACGATATCATATATTTTGTCCTGAGCAGTAGCGAGCCATTCTGTCAGCAGCTCAGCGCTGGAGTGGTAGTGGGCGTATCGCGCACCCAAGAAGACAACATTCGCAGGCACCGGTTTCTGTGTTGCAGATCTTTGTGGTGTCATCTTCGTGATTACCACATCAAGGATACGCTCAATGTCATTTTCGACAAACACAAACATCTGGTCGTTAAGACATCGCGTCCAATCGAACTCCTCGCCGTCTTCAAAGTCTTCGGGCGATTCGGGAGTCTCGTCCAGACCTAAGTTTCCAAGATCGACTTCCAGATTAATTGCACTTTCCATCATCATGCGTCGCCTTTGCTCGCTCTCTGCGAGCTCTTCTTCAAACCGATCTTGCGAGAAGCCGGCATTGTAGAAGTCTTCCGTCACTCCGACTGTGCCAATGCTATAGCCACTACCCTGGAGGAAGTCTGACATTTCTCCGCCAGGAGGCACGAAGTCGAGAGGCGTCCTTCCACTAGACGATTTCACATCAGTCGATGCGCCGTGATCGAGGAGAAGTTTGGCAATATCCTTGTGGGAGTTTGTGATGGCCCACATGAGTGCCGTCCATTGGTTCTTGTCTTGATTGTCAACAGTTGCACCTGCATCCAATAGAGTCTGTACGACATCCCTATGTCCAAAGCAACTTGCGTACACGAGTGGTGGTGTCCCTTCGGCATCGACGCCATCTATCTCCACGTATTGCGATGCAGGACCCCGTACAAGCCTATGCACCCTCGACACATCATCGTTGCTGGCAGCCATGAAGAGAAAGTCCTGCAGCGCCTGCGCCTTCTTCTCTCGTGTGAGTTTCTCGTCCTGGAGGATGTCATCCTCCTGACTCTCCAATGCATCGCTCTGGCGTGGGGCCTGCGAGGCCATCATGGCTGCAATGCGAGCATCGTCATCGCCGAAGTCTCGATCAAAGGCATCATCGGGATCGTTGAGGGACAGATTGAAGGGTTTTGCGATTGTGGGCGCAGTCAAAAACTGCGATTGGCCTACGGGAACTCAGCAACACGTACATCACAACATCGATGGACTGTGGGCGCACACACCCTGCCATGCATCGTAGTATTCAGTCTCTTGCGGTGGTTCATAGCTGTAGCTCTTTCGATCGTCTAGGGAGCGCGGCAGGTCGGCAGGCAGCTCTCTCGGGCGCGTGATGTGTTGTTGCTCTTCCTCGTCCTCGCCCGCCTCATCATGTTCTCCGCGACCGTCATGGCGGCGACTGGCATCTGCTGCTGCTGGGTCCATGGCGAGAGTTGCTCGCGTGTGGGGATGCCCGCCTCATCGAGGCCCCTCCCCGCCGGATGGACACGTGCCGGGCTCTGCTCACTGTGACCAGAGCAGTGACAGCAGGCAGCGGCGCGTACGAGGATATCGGGGCATTCAGTCGAGACCGACGTGTGTCGAGATGTGCGGATCTGATCTGATCGGTGACTAGACGGCTATGTGAGAGCGTGCATGAGCGGGCCGCCGCATAGAATGGGAGGCGTGGCAGGGATTGTTTGGTAGCTGCATCGTCTCGCCAAACACGCAGCAGCTTGCAGCAACGGCAGACAGCTCGTGTGCCAGGCGAGTGCTGACCGAGCTCTCACTCTGCGCATAGTCATCCTCTCCACTGCTTCCTTCTGCTGCAAGTCGCGCCCGCTGTCTGATAGTCGCTCCTTCTCGCGCTCATCTCCGCATCGTCTGGGGACCGGGCAGCAACGGTCCAGTGCATGTCGAAGAGTTGATTACAGCTGAGAGCTTGCACCGAAACCTTAACACGCGCAACTCCACCCGCGTCCGCCGCCTCGTCCTCATCCATCGGCCTTGACATTTTGCGAGTTCGTGCCCATATCTCCAACGAGAGCGCCGACGAGAATCTACGTGCATTGGCGAAGATCAGGTTGACTGGAGCTCGACGGGTCAACGAACAGATGTGCAGCGGCGGCGACAGCATGAAGTGAGACAGGGTCACAGATTCATTCGGAGTAGGCGATGAGAGCGGCTGGTTGCTATTAGGCAAGTACGTGAGCAGACGAGCGAATATGGAGCGCGAGACCGACCACGACACCACTGTGGCTCCATTCAAACGCTTCTACGAGCGCCTACGCGAGGATGTTCCGGGCTACGAGTTCAACGATCGCATGCCGCCCTTTCACTCGAGCTACGACGACTGGCATTTCTTTGGTCGCAAGAAACCGTCCAAGGCGGCAAGTGCTGCGCGCAAGACGAGCACCTCCTCGAATCCGGGCTCTCGTCCCTCATCGATTCGGACCCGATCCGACTATGATGCCAACACTCCAGATGAAGAGAAGGAGAAGGATATATGGGTGGTCGGACGATTGTCAAGACAGATCTTGCGGCTTGAGCGTGAGACCAAGCTGTGCCAGACGCTCTTCAATTCGTCCGACAGTCACAGACATTTCGTTCGGCCCCTCGACTTCTTCCGTCTGCCTGCGCGGCAGTCGGGGGAGGTACCTCTGGCTATTACCATCGTAGAAGCGCCAGGAAGGAACTACTTAGAGGAGCTGGTCTCGTTTGGCGCTAATTTCTACTCCGGGACGCCAGACTCACCTCAAATCCAGCGCCATGATCAAGTCGCGCTGCTCACCTTCTTGGATGTCGCGATAGGTGCCAGCGAGTGCCTCGAGATTCTGCACCACGAGCATGATATCGTACACGGAGAAATCAGAGGCGATGCCTTCCACTTCAATCAGGAATCTGGAATCGTGCGCATGATCAACTTTGGCTCTGGGGTTCGGAGCTTCGAGCACGGCTTGACCTCTGCTAATTGGACCACTTTGATGGCCCAGCGTGGCGTGGAGCACCGTTTGCAATTCATCGCCCCCGAGCAGACTGGTCGACTCCCTGCCGAGCCCGATGCGCGAACCGACATCTATTCACTTGGTATACTTTTCTGGACCATGTTGACTGGGCAGCCGCCGTTTGAGGGACGATCGCCTTTGGACATCATGCAGAACGTGCTTTCCCGACGCATACCTCTGGCCTCGTCGATAAGGTCGGATGTGCCAGACGTGCTTTCCAGACTCATCCAGAAGATGACCGCACGCAACATGGATGACCGCTACAATTCGACCACTGGTGTCAAGCATGACTTGCAAAAGCTCAAACAAATCTTGACGGATGGCGATCTAGACGCCCTGGCAAGCTTCAAGCTCGGCGAGAAGGATGTGTCGTGCTTCTTCGTGCTGCCTTCAGATCTTGTAGGCCGGGACAGCCAGCGTAACAAGATAATCGAAGTGATCGAAAGGGCAGCAGCAAGAGCTGCTCGCGCCACCATCTCTAGAAAGGGTCTGTACACATTGAGCTCCGCCAGCTCGTCGATCATGTCAACTGATCCTCAAGCGGCGAGCCTACTTGATGATATCATGAGTGATAGCACATCCTCAACGGATCGTGATCGCAGTCGCGATGATACGAAATTGACGTCTATCCCGGAGTCGACAGCGCCGGAGCACCATCGCTTCAGCAGAGTCTCCCAGGATCGTCTGGAGACACTTGCACGCACAGGGAGCATGGCTTCCTCTGCCACTTCCACAAACGAAGATGGCACCATACATGGACCCGAACGGAGAGACGCTTCCTTTGACAGTCTCGGGTCGGGAGCGAGAGCGACACCCGAGAGCTTGTACAGGACTGTATCCAGCTATCAGATGGGCAGCATAACTTCAGAACCAAGCACAATGCTTCGCAACGCACAGAAACTTAAGAGGAAGGGCAGGACGGAGATCATCGGCATCTGTGGTCAAGCCGGCTTTGGCAAGTCGGCACTTATTCAGAGCATCCAGAGCCAAATCAGGAAGCATGGTTATTTCACGACAGCAAAATTCGATCCGGTCCGCAAGGCGCCTTTCGATCCTGTGGTCAGAGTAATGTCTTCATTATTTCGACAGATCTTTTCAGAAAATGACGTGAATACAACCTTTCACGACAACATCCGCAATTTCACCCGACCGTAAGCAGTTCATCAGCCGAAGAACCAGTTCAGAATGCTAATGTTTATGTTGCAGATACTGGGGTATTCTACATACCTACCTAGAACTTCCGCTTTGGCTACTGTCGCCTACAGTCAACGGAAAGATGGCCAATCAAGGCCCAGCCGAGCGCTCGCCCAACGGGCAGTTGGGACAGATGCCGGAAAGGAAGATGTGCAACGCGGCCAGTACTCAGGAGTGGTTGCGTTCTGGCGGCTCCAATAAGTCATCTCGATTTATGTCAATCTTTCTGGACGTGCTCCGCTTGCTGGCCGTGCAGAGATTCGTTTGTTTCTGCTTGGACGATCTGCAATACGCAGATCCAGAAAGCTTGGAGCTGCTGCACATAATTGTGAAAAGCCACATTCCAATCGTGCTGATCCTCACTTACAGAGAGGAGAAAATTACGGATCCTACCATAACAAGGCTGCTCGACAGAGCGACGAAAGTGACAGTGGGCCCTTTCACTGACGACCAGGCTACCCAATACTGTTCACAGGCACTCCACCGTCCAGCAGAGTACGTCACTCCACTCGTGGCGGTCATACAGGAGAAAACGCAGGGCAATCCATTTTTCGTTCGAGAAATGCTAGACTCTGCATATCGTAAGAAATGCATCTACTATTGCTGGAAGTGTGGCCACTGGGAGTTCAGTCTGGACAAGCTGTTCGAGGAATTCTCGACACCCGACAGCAACAGATTCTCGACTAACGACTTCATCTTGCGACGCATGCGCGAGTTGCCTATCGATGCTCAATCAGTACTGGCATGGGCCGCCATCGTTGGCAACAGCTTTCAATTCAAAGTACTGCAGCGGGTCATGAGTTGTGCGTGCTCAGATCTTGCGCCGCAGCCTCTCATCCCACCCAAATCGACAGATGCTGTGGCGGGGCTGCAGACGGCACTCTCCTCATTCATCGTCATGCCGACAGAAGATGAAGATCGTTTCAAGTTCAGTCACGATCGATATGTTGCGGCAGCTGACGCTTTGTGCGACGATTACGTGCGCGAAGAAATGCACTTTGTTGTCGCGTCGTCTATGATGAAGCACCTTCCATATGACCCTGTCAACCAGCCCAACAAGGTTCTGTTTGAGCAAGCACGACATGTCTGCGAGGGCATCAAGGCAATCAAACGCCGAGCGCCAAAGAAGACACACTTTCGAGAGCTGCTATACCAGGCAGCGGAGACGGCCAAGGAATCAGGAGCGCGAAAGTCCGGGCTGTACTACTTTCAGGCATGCCTGGAAATGCTACCAGAGAATCCATGGAACGATGAGACCGGCGACGCGACCTATGCCGAAACACTCACACTCTTCATTCGCGCGGCTGAGGCATTTTGGTACAACGGCGAGTATGAAGATGCAACAACACTCTTGAACGCCGTCTTCTCGCATGCACGTCACGCAACAGACAAGGCACCTGCGGCTATCATTCTCAGCCGCATGTACGTTCAGAAGGGCGACAGCAAGACCGCGTTCGAAGGACTAAGACAGGCTCTTGTAGACCTTGGATTGGCTATAGAGGACCGGTCGCTTGAAGAATGTGATGAAGAGCTTCAGCGACTCCTTCCACAGCTGCAGGAGGTCAGCATGGACTTCAGCGGCATTGAGGCAAAAGATATTGACAGAGGCCTAATGACTCTGGGTGCTCTGCTTACTGAACTCCAATCATCAGCATACTGGACCGACCCTGTTTTGTTCTACAATGCCACGCTCACCATCATGAAGCTGTACCTCGAACGCGGGATGTATCCTCAGGTGGCTTTGGGCTACGTGAATCTCGCGGCCATCAGTGTGTGGCGATTCAGTATGGTTCAACCGGCAATGCAATTCGCAGACCGTGCTCATCAGATAGTGGACCACTTCGATCAGGAGTACTACACTATCGGACGTGCACTCACCCTATATTCCACCTTCGTCGGTCATATCCAGTGGGGTTTCCGTGAGAACTTCCAGATCCTGAATCGAGGGCTGGAGGCTGCCTCGATAGCAGGTGACAAAATCTTGCATCTTCTCAACATTGGCGTTATGGCCGCTTATCGACTTTGGGCTTCTGAAAGCGTCTCCGAAATCGAGGCGTACATCGTTTCCATCAGCGACGAGTTCCCAGAGTGGCAACAGAACCTAAGAGGCGGCGTATTTCTGATGGGCGTCCGACAGTATGCTCGAGCATTGGCGGGCAAGACATACTACAAATCAGCTCCCGATGTCTTGACTGATACCAACCATTCCGACATTGACTACGTTCGATACATCAGAGCACATTCATCAAACCCGGAGCGCCCACTCTCCATCTACCTGACATATCAGCTCATTGCGTTATACCGCTTTGGCCACTACAAAGAAGCACTGGAGCTTGGCGAAAAGCTCTCGTCAATGACGGATGGTTTGCTATGCATGCGTTATAGGTACTCGGCTATGTTCTACCTGTCGCTGGCTCTTATTGGTTCACTCCGCGAAAATCCAGACCGGCCGGACAAAGCAGCAGTGCTAGCTCGCGTCGCGCACTATCGAGCCCAATGTGAGATAGTGGCAAGTGCTAACGATGCGAACTACGTAACGTATATCGCGCTGCTGGACGCCGAGGTTGCAGACATCACTCACGATTACGCCCATGTGCTTGAGCATTATGAGAAAGCCGTCGATCACGCTCTGATCACTAACACGGCCCTTGACGAGGGTCTCGCCTTGGAGCATTACGCAGACTGGCTGGTCCGAATGGGTGCCGCGAGGCCTGCCCGCGGAATCTTGCTTGACGCTATCTCAGCTTATCGTCGTATTGGTGCGTATGGCAAAGCCGACCACGTCAGGGACAAATATGAGTACCTCTTGTACGGCACGAAGAGCCTCTCGAACGCGGATGCTGCAACGCAGACCGCTCATGACGCATCTGCTGGTGCGGCATATACCTACAGACTAGAGCGCATGGCGAGCCATGGGGCAGCTCCCACCTCGGCTGAGAGGACTGAGGAATGGCTCGAGCCTTCCCACTCGCAGACTACAGCCATGAACGGGGACAAGGAACCTCCTGCTGCGCTGTCTTCAGCCGTCGGGTTGGATATGATCGACCTTGCTGGTATTCTGGAGTCCAGTCAATTGCTCTCGTCCGAGCTTGATGTCGATCGCTTGCTATCAAAGCTCACAAACATCATCGTCGACTCGACGGGTGCAGAGCTGGTCGGTCTTGTTGTAGAGAACGATCAAGGGGAATGGTGTGTGGCATCTGTGGGTACGCCGGATAATATCGAGGCACCCGAGATGGCCATACCACTCGAGGATGTCGAGGATCCGGTGGCGAGACAAGTCACAAAGTACGTGCTGCGCTTCAAAGAACAGGTCTTCCTGCGGCAAGTGCTAGACGACGAGAGGTTTTCGAACGTGCCGGATTCATGGCTCGAGCAGAACCCTGATGGAGCAAGCATGATCTCGATACCCATCTTGCACGGAGAGAACGTACTTCTTGGCAGTCTCTATTGCCAGGCTCAGCCGAACACCTTCACGGAACGCACAGTAACTCTGCTAAAACTGCTTGTCAACCAGATCGCCATATCGATCGCCAATGCGCTTCTCTTCAAGCGATCCGAGAGAGTGCAGGCTAGTAATGCAAGCATGCTCATCGTTCAGAAGCAAGCCCTGGCACAGGCGCAAGAGCAAGAGAAAAAAGCGAAAGCTGCTGAGGCAGAAGCGAAAGAAATGGTTCGACTGAAGGATGAAGCGGCAAAGGCGAAGTCAATGTTCTTGGCTAACGTCTCGCATGAGCTGCGGACGCCGCTCAACGGCGTTATCGGCATGTCTGAAATGCTCAAAGCCACGGTCCTCACGAAAGAACAAGAAGAACATGCCGACAGCATTCGGGTGTGTGCGGATACGCTGCTTAGTGTGATCAACGACATCCTAGACTTCTCGAAACTGGAGGCCGGAAAGATGCAAGTATTCAGTGTGCCACTCAGCCTGACAGAGACCATTTCTGAAGTCGTGAGGGCCCTCTCCTATACAAACATTGAGAGGAACCTTGTGACGAAGACGGAATTAGACATTGACAAGGACCTGGTCGTCATGGGTGATCCGGTCAGACTGCATCAGATCCTGATGAACTTGATGTCCAACGCTTACAAGTTCACGGCGCGAGGCAGTGTGACTGTACGCGCAAAGGTCGATTGGGAAGACGAAAACTACATCAAGGTCACCACCTCAGTCACTGATACTGGCATTGGAATCTCACAGGAGCAGCAGAAGAAGCTATTCTTGCCCTTCTCTCAGGCCGACTCTAGCACAGCACGAAGTTACGGCGGCACTGGTCTTGGCTTATCCATCTGCAAGGCAATCCTCGAGAACGTCATGAAGGGACAAATCTGGCTGGAGAGCACTCCAGACGTAGGGACGACTGTCTCGTTCAGCCTTACTTTCAAGAAAGTCCACGCATCCGAGCTTAACGAGCACACTGGCACGACTCCGCACGGAAGAGAGGCGGACCCTATGGCCATTTTCACACCGCCTGCTGTGGATGATGGACCAGGGGCTCGTGCTGTAGTCAGCCTGCAAGGCATTCCTCGTGATCAGCTCAAAGTCTGCATCGCAGAGGACAATCTGATCAATCAGCGTATTGCTATCAACTTTGTGAAGAAGCTTGGCTTCAATTGCGAAGCGTACGGGGACGGACAGCAGGCTGTGGATGCATTGGCACGAGCTTCAGCGGACGGCAATCCATTCCACTTGGTCCTCATGGATGTTCAGATGCCCGTTCTAGATGGCTACAATGCGACACGGGAGATCCGTAAGCACGAAGACCCGCGCGTGAGAGACATACTGGTCATCGCAATGACGGCTTCTGCTATCCGTGGAGATCGGGAAAAGTGCCTTGAAGCAGGCATGAACAACTACCTCGCCAAGCCTGTACGTGCAGATACCTTGAAGCAGATGCTGGAGAGCTACCTCCATCAGCCCGCCAAGTCGATTCCAAACCTCCAAGACGAGGCGAACAAGCTTGTGTCGACTGTTGAGGACGAGGAGGCCAGGCGCGAAGACCAAACTGCCAAAGAGAACATTGATTTCCGAAACGAGGCACACAAGAACGGTGTCGTAGCTGGGGTTGGGCTCGCCGGAAGCCTCAAGGACCCACCAGAGAGACCGCGTAGTGCTCAGCGTGGAAGCACAGTCGTCCATCTCACCCCAGAGGAAATGGCAAAGAAGCCCAAAGCCCAGACGCAAATGCGAGATCAGTTGAAGGTTGTCGAGCAGCAAATCCGCGAACTGCAAAACCGGCCTTCGAGAGCTGCTGCCCGTCCTGGACTTGGAGGACGTTCCAATACCGGGAGTAGTACTGGGAGTCCAGGCGCCCCACTCGCACGATCTGTCTCTGGCAGTTCCGCGGCTGGCAGTAGTGTCCCTTCTGTGACTTCCGTCCCAGCAGGCTTTGCAGCGCCTCCGAGGAGCACGCCTTTACGTGCAGCAGATTTCGACCAGAGCGGGGACGAGTCGAGGCAGGAGGGAAGTAATGATGAACGCGATGACTGAAATGATGAACTGTTTTTACCGCAACGAATCCAGACGACGTTTTGCGAAGGTTTATATTAGCGACAGGAACTGGTAGGATTTTTTTCGCTGTACTTTGTTGTTGGTCTCTGTGTCTCGATGAAAGATTTCCTCGGGCATCACAGAACCTGCTTCGCTGTATTTATGTTGCTGCGGCGGTACGTCTTCTTGAGGCGAGATAGATTAGCTTCTTGCAAGACTTGTTGATACACCTGCCCGGCCCAGCCTGCAAGAGAAGGCTGCCGCTGACGCCTAGTTCTCGGTTCCACAACAGCGGTATGGCCATATATCCCGGCCCCACTATCTGCAAGGCACAAATTTTACATCACCTCACCCCATCGCGTACGCTTGCTAGAAGCAATATAAGAATGGAGTACTCCGCAACTGGATCCTGACACATCAACTCCGCGAATATGTCTCAATACCCTCAAGCCTCCCTTCCAGGCCTTCCCACGGAACTTCGCCTTCAAATCCTCGAACTCGCCCTCAAGGATGCTCGGATCGAAATCCGACGCCAGAGAAAGTCCGCTCGCCTCAATCGATTGATCCCAGCAACCTTCCTACCAAGGCTCCATACCAAAACGGCTTGGTCCCTACTCCATCTCAATAGCCAGATTCGTCGCGAATCTCAACCGCTCTTCTACAGCCTCGGCGACTTCCATATCTATGTGAAGAATATCCCGCGAGAGAAATTTGTGATGTTTCTAGAGACGATTGGAACGGAGGCAATCAAGTTGATCAGGACGATGTTTTTTCACACCAGAGATCGCTGTACTATGTACAGATTGGAAAAGAAGTGAGTTTCTATCTCCCTTATTCTGCCCACATGCACACATCCCATAATCCCTGCAAGATCGCCACCCTAGCTGCGGACAGCCAATGGAAACTGGGTGATTCGCTCACTCTGCGACCTCTCTCACGAACCTGATCCGGCAGTAGCTTCGCTTGTTGAGACAGAGCGCCTTAGCTACGCTGCACAAGGCAGAGATACGAGGATCGAAACGGCACTCGAGGTCCTCAGTCAGAGGAGTACGAAGTCTCGATCTTGGTTCCTGTTTTGCCTTCCGGCAGTAGCCACCCTCCGCTCGTCTTGGGAGAATCAGGTGCAAATAAGTTGCATCGTACCTGGCTCTCGATCTCTACTTTCTCTAAAATTCGACTTTATACTGCGAGACCTGGGATTGTGTTACGAGAATCAAAGTCCCGATCACAGGAACCCTTGGATGGTATCAATTCCACTGTCAAAGTGTCCGCTGCCGGCCTCGAAGACGACGCAGTGCTACTCTTACAAATCCGGTCAGCAAACGAGATGGGGATTTCTTTCCTTTGGTACTGTGATTGAAGACGACCCAGGGCTGGTCAGAACCGGATTGCTGACAATCGATAATGTCCTGGGTGTATGAGCCTTCATGGAGACAAAGGCCTGAGTGTTTGAACGTGGAGTTCCCGAATCGAAACAGCTCCCCGCGAGTCTCGAATGGTCTCTATCATGCATTCAAACGAGATTGGTTTCTGACGTACAATCCGGCAACTTAGTCCCTTCCTCCCTCCAGATGATTCCAACTACTGTCTCAGAAACCCTGAGATCTGCTTGGTGCCCAAAGAATGGCTATCCGAGAACGAAGACGTCACTCTTCCAATTCCAAGGTCAACATTCCCACCACCATCCTCGGAAGATACGTACTGTGACTGCTCGGAGCTTGTGAATCGTCTCGAGACAACCAAACATTTCAAGGGCATGGACACTTATGGCAACAGAATCGGGAGGGACGCAAGACCGCTGACGGCCGAGCATGTACTCAACGTATGGGACTTTATGCAAAAGCCAAAATATGGCTAGCACAAGGAGCACTCCGAGCAATACATACCTCATTCAACTCCCCGTCTAGCACTTCTCTTTCCTGCAACAGAGTTGACAAAACTTCACCTGTGGGTAGGCTCCTCTGCAGAGGGTATTTAGTTAGGTGACAAAGTCGGTAGTGTAGTAAAGATTCATGTTCTATTCAATAGAAGGTAGCGAACGAGCGGGCTCTATATACCACTGCCTCGGAACGGAACGTCTATGTTCCGGCAGTTAGGGCTTGAGCCGGTTCATGCGAGGTAGCTACTATACTATACTAAACCGATACTAGCAATCTCTCTTTTCTCGTATAAACCGCTTAAAAACGTAATAAAATAATACCTCTAATAACTAGTAGTATATCTCTAGCTTATAATTAGCTACTAGCCGTTCGTATCCGAATTCGTATCGTCTTACTATATAGATAGCCTTACTAAGTAGATTTATCTTTTAACCTATTCTTAGATACTATATATTATAGTTCCTTAATTAATAAGTATTATTAAGGCCTTATTTAGTATTATCTTAGTTATAGCGTCGGTAGAGTTCGTAGTACTATTAATCTAGCGTACTTTATAAACTTCTTTTACTTTATATATCTATCTTAATACTATAATATTAATTATTAGGCGTTTCTTCTTAGTAGTACTAAGCTTAACTATATATTCGTAAAGCGAGAGTAAGTCGGTATAGACGATTAGTAGTAAGGCTAGTTTATCTAGTCGCTATAAGATTATAGTTAGAGTAGTATTAATACTAAATACTATATTAATACTATAGCTTAGAGTATATATCTCTAATATAAGGAGTAAGTATATTATATATTTACTCTTAGTTAAGCTCTAATAGACGATATTACTAGTTAAAATAAATAAGCTAGTAGTAGTTAATTCTATACTAATAATAATTAGGTAACTAATTTATAATAAGAAGTCCTTATTATTTACGAATAAGCTATTAATAAAGATATATAACGCTATCGAATTAAGGTTTAGTAGTTAGTATATTAAACTATAGT